AAGGCCCCAAGGCGACACCAGACTTAGGACCCACCATGCATGTTTATTTCCATGTCTGACCTTCAACCTCCAGTGAGCCAGCCCTCCGCTTGTGGCGTCTCAGGGGATCGTGTTTAGACTGCAATCGCAGCAGACTTCATAGGTCACGAGCTCCAGCGGGATTCGGGCAGGGTGTGGGAGACCTGTGGGGAACTCGAGGCTGTGTCCCATGGAAACTATTCAAACGTTTATAAAACATTGCAAAGGTCAAACAAAATACTTCTGTAGGCAGGTCCTCTGATTTATGCTCCAGTCGGTTCACCCACCCACACCACGAGGCCAGCACAATTTCTTACCCGTCTTTGGTTCCCCAAACTCTCGGCTCAGTACCTGCTCCTAGCTGATTCAAGAGAAGTGTTTATCGGACGGGGAAGAGGAAGAAGTGGGGTATCACCGTATAGCTGAGAACACAGGTCTCAACCCTGCACACGCTCAGTGAACACCCTTCTAGGCCAGGGCCAACTAACTCAACGGGGTGTGGGTATGAACTGAAGCTCTAGGCAGGCTCAGCTGTGAGGCTGGGATAGGTTGAGTGGGTCCACACGAGGTCATTACTTCTGGAGAACCACTTGAGGGCCCACTGCTTAGGACAGATTGGGAGGTGTGGGCAGTTGTGCCTGGGAGTTAAAGAAAAAAAAGATATGGGGCTGGAGAGATGGCTCAGCGGTTAAGAGCGCTGCCTGCTCTCCCAAGGGTCCTGAGTTCAATTCCCAGCAACCACGTGGTGGCTCACAGCCATCAGTAATGAGATCTGGTGCCCTCTTCTACCCCGCAGGCAGAACACTGTATAGATAATAATAAATAAATAAATAAATCTTTAAGAGGTTAAAAAAATGCTTAATTGGGACCAAAGCAATGAAGTCCCTGGTAATAATGATCTCTTTCCCACAAACATAAGGAGAGATATCCCAAATCACTTTTTTCCAAAGCGTATCCTCTAAACAGGACCCCACCAAACAACTCCAAGTTGTATTCTCTGTTCTTATCCTGCCTTCAAAGAGCAACCCCCAAACATCAACTAACCCAGCGCTCACAGCCCCTTTAGACCTTGGTATCATGTGAGCAAAGGGGTGATTATCAGAAGATGTGATGCAGGCATGAGCAGAGCCCTCTTCAGACCGTGCAAAGAGGGAACCAAGGTCACCAAAAAGGTCAAAATGTCCTAACAATAGCTAACTGAGCAAGTACATCGACAGACTTACTGTTCACACACTACACTGATTGTATTTTTACAAGTGTATGCATATTTACATATTTAAAGGATACTAAAATGTAATAATAGGAAGCATATATTTCCTTGGGTGGTGAGACTGTATTTTTTTTCTTTTGGTTTTTATGAGACAGAGCTTCTCTGTATTGTTTTGGAGACTATCGGTCCAGCCCAGCCTCGAACTCACAGAGATCCGCCTGCCACTGCCTCCCGAGTGCTGGGATTAAAGGCGTGCGCCACCATCACCCGGCGAGACTGTATTTTTCTCTCGTTTCTTTAAAATTATCTACGATGATCTAGGTGTCTCCATTGTGCAACTATGATGCTTACAGTCTGATGAATAAGCTTATCTTCAAAGAATACGGTAGTGTCGTGATTTTAATAAGCTCTGAATGCATAAGGGTTTATGCTAAAGTTCAAGTAAGAATAGAAGCATTTTTATTTGTTTTGTAGCTTTAGATAATCCAATCACATTGAAAAAATGCTTATTCTAACCGTCATGAGAAAGTAATTCAGATGAGCAGGGGAACTCACTTCAATGGGCCGGAGTAGGTCAGTTCGAACTCACTTCAATGGGCAGAGGTGGGTCAGTTCAACCCACTTCAACAAAACATTTCCTGAGGATTGAACCAGGGAGGTCTGACACAGACGGGTTCGGCACGGCCCCCAAGTGCCGGCCCAGGCCTGGAAGTAATGTCCCATGTCCCACCTGAGGATGGAAGCCCCTGCAGACCCTGCAGGAGTCAGCAGCGGTGGATGCTCTGATTTGGGGGGGCCTAAACTCAGAGCCTAGGAAATCCTGAGAGGGGAGCTAGAGGGAGGAGGGCCAGAATGTGCTGCTGGTTCCACCTTGCTGAGGAAGCTCCCGCTGGCAGGAAGCAGAATCACTCAGCCTTTACAGAGGTGTAAACTGCTTCCTTAGAATACGGCTCAGGGTGTGCAAATCCTGTTTTAGCCATTTAAAAGCCCCCGCCCGCCACCATCCCCGTGGGAAAAAATTTAAGGCATCTAAGAAAAAAATCAACTTATATGGATTAAAGACTTAAACGTAAGATCTGAAACTATGAAGCCACTAAGAAAGGACACTGGGGGAAATGTTTCAGGTCGATGCAGCGGGCATAGATTTTTCTGGATAAGAGCCCAGGAAACAAGAGCAAAAATAGACACCGGGTTACATCAAACCAAAAAACGCTTCTTTACAGCCAAACAATCAACGGAGTGAAGAGGCAGCAGCTACAGGGTGGGAAGAAACTCGTAAACTAGCCACCCACCGAGGAATTAGCTTCAAGAGTGTGTGCAGAGCTCAAATGGAGCTCACGCTCCAGCATTGAAACGTTGACAATGACGACCCTGTTAACCAAAACGGCAACAGACTTGAATAGACATTTCTCAAAAGAAAATGTGTATGGATGGCCAGTGGATATATTAAAAAAAAAAAACAAGCAACTTCACTTAGTCATCGTGGAAATGAAATCAAAACCACAATGAGATGTGGCCCCAGTCCAGTGAGGATGACTAGTACCAAAAAAGATGGGACAGTGACCGCGGGAGCCAAACATAAGCTGGCAGCCATGTACCTCCCCATACCCAGCGCTGATAATTGTGAAAGTTCCTTCAAAGGACTAAAAACACTGTAAGAGAGGTGTGACCTGTTCCCTGAAAGCTGTCTGCACATCTCTATGCTCCCAGGCGTGGACCGGCCCTTGTTGACTAAGATGCTCATCGGTGAGCAGCGTGGGAGAGGAAGAGGCCACCAGGCCACGGGGACGGGGCGGGGGAGGGGCTCCTTTTAACCGGTTTCAGTGCCACCCCAGGTGCTCTACTGTATGTGCTTTCTTCCGGACAGCAGCCGTCCCCGATGCAACCGGAATGAGCTCTAGGGAGCCCAGGAAGAAGCATGTGGCCTCACGTATGGATATCCTGCCGGCTATGCGTCGCCCCACTATGCGTCGCCGCTCGCAGGCCTCCCTTGCAGATGGTCCTCCCGGGTCATCCGCGCCCCGGGAATGCAGACACGTGATTTTTTCCCCTGAGGTATTTCATAGCGAGTGCAGTAGTGCAGTGCAGTGCCGATCCCCAGAGCACCCACACCATCCAGGGACTGGACAGGAGGCGACGAACCACCACCCGGCACACCACACTGTTCCTTCAGGGAACAGCGTGGGTCGGGATGTGACCAAAATAAAGACTCTAAACGGCTAATTCCCGGCTTTCAGTTTGCAGCAAAACTTGGGGATGGCCCTCAGCTTAGAGGAAGACAGCCTGTAGAATCCAAGTCTTCTGGGTGACACAGCGGTGAATGGGTAGCTTTTGAAATAAAACAGATTACCTTAGGAGGCACCCCACCACAGACCAGTCTCAAATGTACCAAGTGGTTGCCCAAAGTGATTGGGTGGGGTGGCAATTAGATGATTTCTACCCACCTGGAATTTACAGAGCCAACAGGAAAGAGATGTAACCACGATTGATTAGGTTAGACAGACTGGAGCTCAGCCGGGGATACCTCACGGTCTGGGCAGAAGGACCCCGCTGGGTAGGATCTGAATGGATAAAGGAAACTTTCGCAGAGGCACAGCATTCCATCTTTCCCGTCTGCTGAAAATGATGCAAAGGGCCGCTCCATGAAGACGCTCCGGAGGCCTGAAAGCCCCCACCTTGAGGTCGGACTCAATGCTGCTGCTACTGCCTCAGCCCAACTCCTGAGAGGACGTTTTACAATCTCCAAAGTCACAGTGTGATTACTTTGTGCTACTTTATTTTTCCTCAAATATCTGTTAAGTTTTTTTTAATAGAAAATTACAAGTAGTTAGAAATAGAAACTAAATCGTGTTGAAGTGACTCAGTCTGTTTTTTGTGTGGCTCTAAGCATATACATTAACATGTGTGACCAGGAAGGGTTTGGTCCCCTGTGACACTTGTCAAGTGTCAGAAGCAATCTAAACAGATCACTTCTTATCTTGAACCTGACCTTGCCCAGGGTCTCCCTCCAGTTTTCCCACAGGACGTGCCTGTGGGTAAGCTTTTAGGAGGAGCTGAACAGGCAAAGCCTGGGCTGTCCGGGGTGGCCTCCGAGAGCTGAGAATATACTCCTCATCTCCCTGCAGTGCCCAGCAAACTGCTACTGTTGCCATTGCCCCGATTCCTTCCTGATGTTGAGCTCAAAGAGCTAGCAAGCTGGGAGAGCGCTTGAGCTAAAAGCCCACTTTTCCAGCAGCTTCGTTAGTCATTATTCCCAGATTGTCCTCTATGCGTGCGTGCCTGTGGGGCTGCTGGGACTGAGCTAGTGGATGGTGTGCATCCCTCACAGCAGAGTGAGAACAGGGCTGTGGACCCCGCAGAGCATCCCTTAGGCTTCCCTTCCCCGACCCCCAGTCCTTCAGTAGAGACACGTTCCTGACCTGCACAGCAGTGCAGCTGGGCAATTACAGTATGGTGAGGATCCAGCTTGAGAAGTTAAGTAAAAACTGGCGTCTTCAGAAATGCTCGCTCCAGTCCATTCTGATCTTGATGGCTTGTGAAACACAGGAGGCGGGGCCAGCAAGAGTTCAGTGAGTAAAGGCACCTGCTGCCAAGACGGACAAGTTGAGATGCCCAGAGCCTACACAGTGGAAAGAGAGAACTGACTCTTGTAACTGCCTTCCGTGTGTGCGTGCGCTATGGCATGCACGCTAGCACATACTTGAGTGCACACGAGCACACACACATGTGCGGGGAAACACGCGCACCACATACACAAACAGATGAAAAGCCGTTTTAATTATAAAAGAAGACATTTATTTCTCACTCCCGAACGTGTGAAGTCCAAGTTGAATGCCTGGCAGACTTGGTAGCTGGTGAAGGCTGTCCTCACTCATGTCCCCGAAGTCTAACTAATGCCACCCACGTGCGCATGGGCGTGGGGCCAAGCCGCTGGTGCGTGCTGTACCAACCAGGTGCCGTTCCGCAGGACGAGAGTCTCGCTCAGTGCCCTCTTCATCAAAGCTTCACTTTCCTTGAAGCCCAGGGGTTGGCACATGACCGCTTGTGGCGTGTCTCACCTCGTCCAGTGGGTGGTCATGTGGCTCAGTGAATCTCAGCTGCCTTCAGACGCCCAGTACTGTTAGAACAGTCTCCCTGGAAAAAAAAAAAAAAGTTGTACCAAGAGGTAGGTATTTCAGCTATGTGACTTTGATGCATATAAGAAAAATCTTTTAAAGAATAAAAAACCATTTCTCCCCCCCCCTTTTTGTTGTTGTTTTTGTTTTGTTTTTTGAGACAGGGTTTCTCTGTATTGTTTTGGAGGCTGTCCTGGAACTTGCTCTGTAGACCAGGATGGCCTCGAACTCACAGAGATCCGCCTGCCTCTGCCTCCCGAGTGCTGGGATTAAAGGCGTGTGCCACCAACGCCCGGCCCATTTCTCCTCTTTGATTGGTGTGCAGAATCCTCTCCTTGAATATGTACAGGACTGATTACTGTGAGCGTTTTCAAGCCAATCGCTTTCTTGTTGTTTGGAATCGATCATCCAGGCATGAACTGTGGGGAAGTGGACCTGAAGTGGGGGAGGGCCAAGCTCAGAGTGATGCTGCTGCCCCCATCTGGCCAGAACTCAGAGTGATGCTGCTGCCCCCATCTGGCCAGGACTCAGAGTGATGCTGCTGCCCCCATCTGGCCAAGCTCAGAGTGATGCTGCTGCCCCCATCTGGCCAGAACTCAGAGTGATGCTGCTGCCCCCATCCGGCCAAGCTCAGAATGAAGCTGCTGCCCCCATGTGACTGATGTGTCATACTGCATGCTGCTTCTACAAACGCATTAGTGGGCTGTTCACTGGTTTCTTCCTTGTGGACACAGAGGGAATTCTGGATGTGGAGCTACCACTAATCATCCCCTTAGGATAAGCTCACTGAGGCCGAGGGACACGTGTGCTGAGACCACCCAGGCCAAAGCCTGGGACAGACAGCATCTGCAGACTGGGCGCCATGCTGGGAGCCCTTTAGAGCCCAGGTGCCCACAGAAGCTGGTGAGAACGGGAGCGGTCGGGCAGGGGAAGGGACTGCACCAGGAGCTTCACTCCATCTTCTCAGGGCATCAGTGATGCCCTGCAGCCGGTCCGGTGGGAGGAACTGGGGAATGTTGGGTGGGGTCCAGGCATTGCTCCTCCGAGACTGGCCTGACCAAACAACCGAGCTCCAGCCCCACCAACAGGCCTGTGCTCCAAAACAAGTGAGCGGTCTCTGAGGCAGGGCTCCTGGGGGGGGGGGGTGCTAAGCAGGATGCTGAGAGGCAAAGATCTCAAAACACCAACACCTGAACCCTGGATGTCCCGGGAAGAGGCTGCAGCTCAAGTCCCATTTGGACCCGAGAAGGCCTTCAATAGTGCCTCCCCCTACCCTAAAAGCTCAGCAGGAAGAAAGGCACAACTGTACTGAGGGAGGGTGATGACGTAGCCACGAAAGAGAGTGTGCGAGCCCCAGGAAGACCACTATGACGTAGCCACGAAAGAGAGTGTGCGAGCCCCAGGAAGACCACTATGACGTAGCCACGAAAGGGAGTGTGCGAGCCCCAGGAAGACCACTATGACGTAGCCACAAAAGAGAGTGTGCAAGCCCCAGGAAGACCACTATGACGTAGCCACGAGAGTGTGCAAGCTTACTGTTTCCCCATGCCTTCTTCTCCCCTCCTCTTATCCCCCTCTCTTTTCCTTGGTTCCCTCTCCCCTCCCCCGATGTTCCCAATCTGCTCAGGAGATCTTGCCTCATTCCACTTCTCTGGGGTATCATGCATCTCTCTTGGGAACTTCCCTGTTTCCCAGACTCACTGGCACTGGGATTGTAGGCTGACACTCCCCTGATCCATATCTAAAATCCATATATGAGTGAGTACATACCATGTTTCTCTTTTTGTGACTGGGTTACCTCACTCAGGATGGTTTCCTCTAGTGCCATCCATTTGCCTGCAAATTTCAAGATTCCATTGTTTTTCTCCGCTGAGTAGTACTCCATTGTGTAAATGTATCACATTTTCTCTATCCACTCTTTGGTTGAGGGGCATCTAGGTTGCTTCCAGGATCTAGCTGTTACATATAATGCTGCTATGAACATAGTGGATCAGACATCCTTGTTGTGTGAATGGGCATTTTTTGGGTATATAAGAGTGGGATTGCTGGGTCTTGTGGTAGACTCAGACCCATTTTCCTGAGGAATCTCCATACTGATTTCCATAGTGGCTGTACTAGTTGGCACTCCCACCAGCAGTGGAGGAATGTTCCCCTTTCTCCACATCCTCTCCAGCACAAACTGTCATTGCTGTTTTTGATTTTCGCCATTCTGACAGGAGTAAGATGATATCTCAGAGTTGTTTTGATTTGCATTTCCCTAATGGCTAAGGATGTTGAGCACTTTCTCAAGTGCCTCTCAAGTTTCTCTATTTAGTTCAGTCCCTCACTTTTTAATTGGATTCTTTGGTGCTTTGGAGACTTGCTTCTTGAGTTCTTTATAAATTTTGCAGATCAGTCCTCTGTCAGATGTGGGGTTAGTGAATATCTTTTCCCATTCTGTGGGCTGCCTTTTTGTCTTGCTGACTGTGTCCTTTGCCTTTCAGAAGCTTCTCAGTTTCAGGAGGTCCCATTTATTAATTGTCAATCTCAGTGTCTGTGCTATTGGAGTTATGTTCAGGAAGCAGTCTTCTGTACCAATTCGTTCAAGGGTACCACCCACTTTCTCTTTTAACAGGTTCAGTGTGGCTGGATTTATGTTGAGGTCTTTGATCCATTTAGACTTAAGTTTTGTGCATGGCAATAGACATGGATCTATCTGCAGTCTTCTACATGCCAATATCCAGTTATGCCAGCACCATTTGTTGAAAATGCTTTTTCCATTGTATAATTTTAGCTTCTTTGTCGAAAATCAGCTGTTCATAGGTTTGGGGATTAATCTCAGGGTTTTCAATTCAATTCCATTGGTCTACCCATCTATTTTTGTGCCATTACCAAGCTGTTTTCAGGAATATAGCTCTGTAATAGAGCTTGAAGTCAGGGATGGTGATGCCTCCAGACATTGAGCAGTGTTGTCTTGGCTATCCTGGGTTTTTCGTTTTTCCATATAAAGTTGAGAATTGTTCTTTCAAGGTCTGTGAAGCCCTCTTACTCTTTATGTCTCCCCTAACATCTAGAGCTCCGTCAGGCTCCTGGGGACACTGTCCCTTCTTTCCGGCAGCCTCAGCCCTCTCCTAGCAGGGCCTTGAGGCCTGTTTTCTCCCTAGGCAAGCGACTCCAGCAACCTCCACGTCAATCCGTTTTAACAGGTTAGCATAAGATGTCTTTGTTGATCTGTTCTAACATCATCACAGTGACCAAGGTTTATTTTGCCGTCATTTCTGAGGGCTCAGGCCACGGTGTCTGGGAAAGTGGCACGATGACTCCCGTCGGGCGGCTCAGAGAGGCTCCCCGTATGGAGACACGGGAAGCACAGAGGCTTCTAGGGCCTCAGCCCTGGGGACCAGCGTGGCCCCTGTTTCGGGGTAAGTCGTCTCCGCAAACACTACTCCTGGGTGCTCTTCTATATCCCGGGTGACCCTTAGTGAGGATTGGACAGGGCAAAGCACTCCCAGGCTGAGCCAACCTCACGCTTAGGTTTATTCCCTCAAACGATCACCTTTCCAGACTCTAGAAGGAAGGATCTTGTATACTTCCAGTCAGGGGAAGATTTTTCTTCCTCACGTTTAGGTTTATTCCCTCAAACGATCACCTTTCCAGACTCTAGAAGGAAGGATCCTGTATACTTCCAGTCAGGGGAAGATTTTTCTGACAGAGAACCACAGGCTGCCACGGTTATGTTCTGTCCTTGGCTGTCACTGTTACCAGAGGCCAAAGAGGGAAAGGCACACTGTGGGCTGCGTTCCCTGGAGTAGAGACCCTGGGGGGGAGGGGAGGAAGGGGGAGGGGCAAAGAGCTTGGCCTGTTTTCCTTTCTCTGTGGTCACTGTGTGTTTCTGCGTAACTCACAGAATATCCGGCTGTCAAGCGCGGAAAGGAAACATTCTGTGAGACTCTGGGAGTGGAGGCCACACGGACTGAGTGACAGGGAAGGCACGCCATCAAGATGCACACCAGGCAAGGAACGGTCAGTCTCTCAACCCCGTCTGCACTCAGCATATGACTCTGATCACACACAATAGGCCACCTCGAAGGCAGTGTATACAGTATATATACACTCTATACAGTATGCATACAGTGTATACACCTCAAATATACACAGCCTTCCAGAGAGTCACACAGACACTCATTGTGTCTTTTCTGCCCACTACAACTTCTCCTGTGATATAAGTCTGTCTGAACGACCTGAAAGACAAAAAAAAAAAAAAACTACTGAAGGCTTATCTTCATCCGTCTGCATGATTTTGCATTAAAAGTAAATCCCATACAGCTCAAGGGAACAACAACCAGGAAGCAGAGAGTCAGGCGGGGGATGGAGCGACTGTCCACTGCTGCAATCATCTAAGACTCACAGACACTGATGAGATCTAAAGAAAGAGGAATAACGATCCTAACTTAGAAACCTAGAGACGGCACCCATCTTAAACATTCTAGACAAATGTCTGCGCCCAGTGTCCCCCATCTGTGAGTTTTATGCAGCTGCCGAAAGGAGATTCCAGCCCTTTGTTTAACACGGATTGGCTGAACACACACTTACCCGGTGGCACTGTGCCAATCACATAAACATGCCTCTAACACATTCTCCCTTCCTGCCAAGCAGTGGCCGCCACTGGGTTCCTCCATCTCTGTAGTTACCCATTGCGTCCTGTGTGGTTAGGTGGCCAGCGAGACGGGGGGTAAAGACTCAGTGCCACCTTGTGGGGAAAGAAGGAGCAGTACCTGGACTGGGTCAGCATGTGCATGCTACGTGTGCATGTACTCGGGCATGCCTGCATGTGTGTCATGTATACAAGTACACGCTGAGACACGTCTGAACAGCACGACTGAGCTTCTACAGATGGGGCAGACTAAGCTGGACAATTCTGTTGTTTTCACAATAAACATGTGGGCTTTTGAGTCAACACAATGAAAAAAAAAAAAAGAAAGGTTGATGGACATGGAAAGAGACAGTCAGAGCATACAGTTGCACTGTACTGGGGGAGATGGGGGTGTAACCCACGGGCTCAGATGCAGGCAGCAAAGTTTTCCAGTCACCTTCCGGGCCCAGAACACTCTACTTCTGGCTGGGAAAGTGCAGGAAGAGCTTTACATATGCTGCCTGCGTTCCCTACAGATCTACGGGGAAGACACAGGAGAGTTCTCTTATGAGCTCATCCTCACCCTCCTCCCGTGTGGTTCTGGCACGTGTGGCCTTCCGACCCACACACTGGGACTTGAGCTGCAAGGCAATGGTACGAGGGGGTGGTGCCTTTGGGGAGGAGGAGCCCTCGTGAGTGGACCGGTGCTGCTGAAGGAGAGGGGAGGGGGCATGCTAGCACCCTGCATCCCTGCACCTTCTGCCAAGTAAGGGCATGGCCACAGAGCGCCGTCTTGGAGGCAGAACTTTGGACTTCTGGACTCTCCAACTGTGAGAAACCAGCTTCTGGTATTTACAAATGAATTAGCGCATCTCCTATTGCTCCATGTTCAAGAGAATTATTTACTTGTACCATTTCTATATGACACTGTAAAATGTGTCCCACTCAATCCTGTGAGTGCCCTTCAAGTCCCACCCAGAACTGCTGTTCCAGAAAAATCTTAAAAACAGACTGGAGGAAGTCATCTCCAAAGTGAGCATTTTTTTTTTTATTTTCCTTTAGATAGAAGTTCATCATTTTATGCATGGCTAAGAAAATAGTCCAATAAAGTACATTTTCATGGTGGGCTGTTTAAAATCCTGTAATAAACGTGACAGTGTTTTTTAAATTGTTCCAAAAATAACTGGAAATAGTCTTAGAAGAGCTTTCTGACATCAGTATTTCCTCTGAGGTGTAGTACACACCAAAATGTTCGTTGTTGCCACTAAAAATAGTGGTTTGTTTCCTGGGAATACCAAAGTTCCGTTCTCCTAGAACAAATTATGTACAGAATATACACATCCTACGTACACAAGAGCAGAACACAGGGTCACGTGGACACGGAGTCACGGGAGGCGTCCTGTAGCCGCGTCCTGGGCACTCGTCCTTCTCCTGACACTACACCCTCATTTCCGAAGAAGCATGTGCAGCTGGCTGTGCTCATCCGCCGCCGGGGCGGTCCACCGCCTCTTCAAGTACTGGATGTCAACTGTGCCAGAGGCCCTGGCCAACACCAGCGCCACAGAGCTACCACTGGCCTTCTCGGGATCCCCCATGACGGTCATGGCCACAAGTCTGCAGGTGAGAGAGAACGTGACATGGGAAGTCAGGACACAAGTGTGAGCTTCAAAACATCTACTTTCAAGGGAGGTGTGAAATAGAAGAGGCACTTAAAAAACGCTAAAACAAAATACTAGAACAAAACACGCACACAAGGGTGACACCCCCTCCTCCCTCTAACAGCAGGGTCTGCACACTGCCTCAGCAGGTCCTCCCACCACATGGGCAGTGGGGTGATCCCCAGTGTGGGGTTCCCCACAGAGCTGTCCTCCAGCCCCAGGCCCCCATAGCAACAAGCTCCAGTGAGCCAGCAGTCCCCAGCCCATCGTGTGTTCTGGTGAGAAATCGGGTCTTCTTGACACGCTGTGTGGCCTCTCCTCCCCAGTGTCCCTGCCAGGCTGAGGACACGCCTCCAGCTCCATCCACCCTGAACTCCTTCAGAGATCCGGGAAATACCGTCTGAAGGCAACCCAGTGCCCACTCAGATCCTCCTCACTCCCAGCAGGAAGTGTCCCATCCTTCTGCCCCGGCTTCCCTGGGTCTCCTCTTGTCAGACTTTAGAGATGTAGATGGATTCATGTGTGAACCCAGGTGGAGGAATCTGCTGATTGGTTTCTGCATTTCTTTTCAGGGCTCTCTAACTGGGGCTTAGTGATCCTCCTCCAGCCTCAGTCTTCCGTGACTGGGATGATGGGCAGGAGCCACTCCCCTCAGATCTTCATGTATTTCTGTTTCCTTTTTTTTTAAGACAAGGCCGGGAATGCCCCATGAGCCCCGGCTGGCCTCAAACTTGTAATCCCCCGCCTCAGATTCTCAAGTACTAGGATTACATTTATTCCACTATAGCCAGTTCTCCTGATGGATATTTAATTAGAATAAAGTAGACACAAATCCACATCCCTAAGCCAAAAGCTATCTCCAGTAGATAACCACTTACGATGGAAAAATTAGTTTTCTTCAGCCAAGTTCTACTGAGTACAAACCACACTTAAAATCAGGCCCTAAGCCCAGAAGCAGACGGCCCACACAAAACAAATTCAACAGCATCTTGGGAGATTTGTTTTGTCTGACAATGTTTTGTCTAGACTTTTTTTTAACCTTATAGATCTTTTGCTTATATGTCATATCTTATGGATTTTCTTTCTGTATGTACGAATGTGTCTCAGCATCTGTTTGTTTCTTGTGACTTTTCTTTGGCTTTTTTCCTTTGTTTGTTTTGTCCTGTTCTGGACTGTTTGTTTTTATCTTATTTGTTTTTATTATTATTATCACCTGTTTGTATTCTAATGAGAGAGCAAAAATGAAAGGGTATGGATTTGGGTGAATCCAAAGTGGGTTGGATCTGGGAGGACCCAGGGAAACGGAAATTGTAATCAGAATAGATTGTTTGAAAAAAATATTTTCAGCTGGGTGGTGGTGGCGTACACCTTTAAAAATCCCAGCACTCGGGAGCAAAGACAGTTGGATCTCTGTGAGTTTGGTCTATAAAGCCCTGACAACACACACACACACACACACACACACACACACACACACACACACACACACACACACACACATACATATTTATAAAATTTCAAGAACAAAATATAGGAGACTAGACAAACTGGGGGCAAGAGAGAACTCTTCCAAATGAAATCTTCTATACATGTTGTTACTTTGAAATGAAGGAACAAAGGCAAAGAATTATTTCAAAGCCTTAGCGACTGGCCAGTGAGTTGGCTCAACCAGTAAAGGCACTGGCTACCAAGGCTGATGACCTAAATCCTGGATCCTACACAGGGGAAGGAAAGAACCAAGTCTCACACATTGTCCTCTGAATGCTACATGGGCACCACAGCATATACGACTGTGCACACACATAAGCAGATAAGTAGATAGACAGATGATAGGTAGACAGACAGACAGACGCTAACACAGTAGCGTCAATACAATTCACACCAGCAGGGTGCTTGCACACATGGGTGGAAAGGATGCTTGGGGACTGGTGTGACTCAGGAGCAGAGAGCTGGAGGGTCTGACAAGAACACAGACTCCATGACTTTTGTCTCGTATGTCCTGTCCTCTTTGAGAAACTAGAGGGAGTTGGTTGCAGATCACACAAACATATGTGGAATCTGTAAGACACTCACACGGAAAATGTTTCTTCCTGTATGATAATAATGAGGGACTATTACACTACTCTCCTATGGCCTGTGCTCTTTGGGGCTAAACGTGAGACAGCTGCATCTTAAAGAGACTTAGATAGTATTGCTTAACTGAACACTATGGGCGAAGCTGATGTAGAGGAACAGGGTGGTCATGATGTGTCAGTAAGGAGCAATTATAGCGGGCACACTTGATGGAGCTGCCGGCAGCAAAGCGGAAGCATGTCTGGGGGTCAGAGGGCGCACAGGAGCCCTGCGTATCTTTCTATTTGACTGCAAACTAGAACTACCTTTAAAAAGTACTTTTGACTATCTAACATATAAATGCAGCATTTAATTTAAACTTAAACATGTGACTTAAGAAAGACCAGAGATGAAGGTGACAGGCCTTGCACTCACCTGTCTGGAGAGATGAGCTGCTGGGCCACAGGGCCCAGGTCATTCTCAAGAAGGTCCCAGACATAGATCCTGGACGCACCATCCTGGACCAAGAACACAGTGGGCCTTGTCGGGGACCACTGCAGGCTGGTGACAGAGCGGCCACGGGTACTGCCGTCCCACTGCAGAACAGGCCTCTCAGACGTCAGCTGGTGCAGTCTGATGCTTCCATCTGAACAGCCAGCCTGCAATCGGGGCATGGAAACCCTGCTTTACTTTCTTTTTAAATTAAACCTCAACACCCAGCTAATTGTCTCAGAGCGGTTGGCTTGCTTTTGTTCTGAATATAAAGACATCAAACCTATCTTCACAAATAGCGAGTGAGCACTCACCCTGGAAACGGACACCAGCCATCACTGCACTCTCAGAAAGCACAGATGAGTGTTTGTTGAGTGCCTCTGACTCCAGCACAGGATGCTGGGGTGGGCTCCACAGGTGGAATGTCACCTTTTAAACAGTTGTATTTGTACTAACAGTATGGTTATATGTTCCCTTTGGATTGAAATATTTATAAATTTGCTCTTATGAAACACAGCTGGTTTAGTGAAAGATCAAATTACTAGCCTATAAAGAGAAGATTAATTCTTCCTTGCTATTTAATCCTTTCCCATAATAAAAAGATGGACTTATATAAAATTCTAAAACTGTGCCCACGTGTGTGTGTATGTGTGTGTGTGTGTTTGTGTGTGTGTGTGTGTGTGTATTCAACTAGAATGTCAACAAGAGATCATATTGTAGGCCGGGCGTTGGTGGCGCACGCCTTTAATCCCAGTACTCGGGAGGCAGAGGCAGGCGGATCTCTGTGAGTTCGAGACCAGCCTGGTCTACAGAGCGAGTTCTAGGACATCCTCCAAACAATACAGGGAAACCCTGTCTTGAAAAACCAAAAAAAAAAAAAAAAAAAAAGAGAGAGAGAGAGATCATATTCTAAAATAAAATACATTAAGCCCTAGTTTCAGATAAATAACACAATCATACAGGATAAAGTGGCAGGAACTGAGCCAAATAATCTCTGAGCACAATGTCAGGGTGTATAACTTCTGACTCAGATGCTGCAGAGTCTTAAGCAGTGAAACTGGCTAATTTGCATGAGGTATCAAAAGCCCTGCATATTCTAGGACTGCACTCTTAGCCAGGCAGATAGTAAACCACCCCTATGGTCTGAGTGAAGTCTGTCCCCACTGGTTCCTGTGCTAGAGACTCAAGTTCTCAAAGTAACCGTGTTGAGAGGCAGAGGGATCTAGTGGAAGGTAATTAGGTGAAGGGACTGATGACTGTTTTTTAGGAGAGGGCTAACTCTTAGGACAGGATTAGCTGCCGTGAGAGCAGGGTGACCACGGCTAACTCTTAGGACAGGATTAGCTGCCGTGAGAGCAGGGTGACCACGGCTAACTCTTAGGACAGGATTAGCTGCCATGAGAGCAGGGTGACCACAGGTATGTATCTTCCTGCTAAACTCTGAGTGCTTTGCAAGTGAACAAAGTATTTCTTGAGAGTTAAATTTCTGAGTCAATTTAATTTTCTGTTAATATCCCGTGTCTCCTTTGTAGATCACTGAAGCCCAATAAATACTAAATCTTTAGGCTTTCTAAATCTTCTACTGGATTGCAATAGTATGATGCCCCAATAAGCAAATAATACCAATGGAAAGTGACTGTCTTACCAAGAATACTGTTTCTTCAAATGGTGAAAAATCGATCACGTTAACTTTTATTGGTCTGACACCATGTTGCTGAGGCTTGAACACCTTGGGAGACACTCTCCACTCTTGTCTGGTACTGTGCCGTATAAGTCCCTAGTTATTACAAGAATACCAGGAATAGCCAAAGAAAAGTATCAGACACAAGACTGAACAAAAGCCATGCTCATGAAACAATTCAGACATTGTAGCAGAGGCAAACAGTAAGTTAATCTGATGTTAAGACATCTATCAGGTGAGGCTAGGTGGAAAGGATGAAACGTAAAATACTACTAACCGTATCGGTGCCAACAACAAAGTGATCAGGATCCGAAGGCAGAAACTTGACACTCAGTGTTTGTGAGGACCCCCAGAGTTCACTATCTTTATGGGAAAGACTGAAAAATAAACAGCAGAGATGAGCACACGCCTTCTGCAAACCCGGGATGATGACAACACCTGACACTCACTGCCGTCTGCCACGGGAGGAGCAGCATGGCACACTTCTTCCGTGACTGCAGCTACTCTGCCTCCTATTTCCTTTCCAGGTACTGCAAGCATAATCACGTCTGCAGATCCATCCTTCAGTCTGCTGATTCTTTTATCGACTACGTTGAATCTGCTACTTAACGGCTCACTGATAGGAAACTGACTCTGATGAAGCCCACCGTGGTGACAGTTCAGTGTGCTGATTAATCCTATTTGTGCTCCAGGGTGCACTGTTTCCTCATGTTTCTGGTTCTTCTAAGTTTGTGAGCTCATCTTTTGCAGACGGCTTGGAGAAATCCCATCATAAGTTCAGGCTTCCCACCAGGCAGCTGTCCTTATGTCTCAAGGTCCCTGGGATTCTGATGTTCACACCCCAACTTACAGATTCCCATACACATCTAGCTTGAGGTTTCAAGTTCTTCTGAGTACCTACTTTCCCTTAACTAGGGGTGAAACTTTCTAAACTTCCCTCACACTAAAGGGGCAGTGAATTCCAGAGTCCTGTGCGGGGGGTCTCAGTGCTAGTCTCTAACTCGGCAAGCCCAATACATCTCTGACTGCACAGGGCTTAAGACACAGGTCTATGGTAAAGGCCCAAGAACCTGACCTCCTGGTTCCACCACTAGTTCAAAACCTTATTATCTAACTTAACTTCCCTCTTTGTTCCTCGCATTAAGACATTTTCTTTTCTTAAAACAAACAAACAAAAAAAAACCTACTATATCTGGAGCTGGAGAATCGACTCAGCAATTAAGCGCATTTGCTGCTGTATTCTGTTCCCAAAACTTTTACAGCACCTTACAGCTCAGTAACTCCAGTTCCGGGAGATCTGACGCCCTCTTCTGGCCTCTGCTGGCTCCAGATACACATGTGGTGCGCATATATATATATATATATATGGGCAGGCAAAGCACTCACACAGATGACACACAAATAACCCCTCTTCTCCTCGGCCGTACCATCTGGTAAGGTAAGCAAACTATGGCAGAAGGCAGGGCCAACTGAGGCTCCTCCCTCCCACTGCTTCTATCCTCAGCAGACCACCAGATTCCAACTCCACATCTAGTTCTCCACACCCATGTTGCTTTTCATACAGGACACCATACTGGCCTCCTAACTGGGCTCCTTGACTCCAGTTTCTGGAACGTTCTGTACTCCAAACTAACATTTTTCCCAAGTTGATTATCATCCCACATCTCAAAAATGACATTCTACTTCTTCAGAATAAGACCCTGTCACCTCCAAGACACTGTCTAGACTGTCATCACAGAAGCAGGCATGCCAATGTCAAGGTCAACCACCAACTCCTCCCATCTTTCTCAACAATGGACTTGCTGGCATTTCTGGCATGCTCCTTTGCCCGACTTTCAAGGATCAATCCAGTTACCGTGTCTTAGTTGGTATTCTATTGCTGTGAGGAGATACCATGACCAGCAACTCTTACACAAGGAAGCATTTAATTAGGGGCTTGCTGGCAATTTTAAAGGATTAGTGCATGGTCACGGCAGGAAAGAGACAGGCGTGATACTGGAACAGTATCTGGGATCTTTGCACCCTGATCCACAGAGAGCAGGCAGAGAGACACTGGGCCTGGCATGGGCTTTTGCAACCTTAGGGCCCATCCCAGTGACACACTTCCTCCAACAAGGCCACATCCTCATCCTTCTTAAACTGTTCTATTCCCTGGTGACTAAGCATTCAAGTACATGACCCTATAGGGACCATTCTTACTTTAAAAAAAAAACCAAAACAAAGCAAAACATGTATCACTTTCCCCAAATGCTCCCATATCACCCTGGACCTAAACCTGCTCTCCTTCAAGCTCCTTCATGCCTATGCTCATGCTAACAACACATCATACTCTTGTAACCATGCCAACAAGGAATGGTCTACTTCACCGGCAAGCTTGCTGAGATCTCTGAGGGCAAGACAGCTACTACACCAAGGGTGACATCTTCCCAGGACATCCACAGTCCACAAGTGGCAGGAAAGGGGCAAAGACCTGGTCTTTCAGTCTGGCCAGCCACCCCAGTTTCCCCGAGGTAGGGGGGCTACAGAGCTAGACCTCTCCTTATCATTCAGTCAGCCTCTACCCCTCCTTTCCCACAGAGCTTGCAAAAACACAACTATGAGTTTTGAGAGGAAACATAGTACCAAATACATTAGATATTTCCCTTTGAAGGGTATAGTTTAGTCCCGGAAGAGTATACATTAAAATCCAGGAGGTAATCACATCTCAAGCAGAGAGAAGTGTCTCACAGGAGCTCCGCAGAGGTATGCAGCACATGGAGTCAGGGAACAGCCTGAACAGCATGTGCGTGCCTGGCTCTGCAACATGTCTGATGACATTAACTGATCTGCTTTCAAGATTATATTTCAGTCAGGCAGGTTAATCTGAAGTCTCTAATTGTGATTGTATCCACTGTACTCTGTGTGATAAAGAGGATACAGGCTCAAAGACTTTTTCAAGGATAATCCACATACTCACAGTCTCAGTAAGTAAATGACAGAAATACATTTTTATGTATGCATGTATGTACATATGTATATGTCTTTGGGAACCAATACAGAACATATAAATAGTACTAATACTGGAACTTTCATTAAGAATCTATACTTCATATTAAGTCTATGGGTAAAAGCAGAAATATAGGGTGGTTTTGGGTCTTTTGGTTTTTTGCTTGTTTTTACTTCTTTTTGCTTATCTGTTGATCTGAGATAGGCTCTCACATATCCCAGGCTGGTCTAAAACTCACTGTGTAGTCAAAGATAGCCTTGAGCTCTTAATCTCACCGCTTCTATCTACCAAATGCTAGGACTACAGGTGTGTGCTATGCCTACCTAGAAATATATATTTATGAATAAAATTTATTTCAGTGTTTCCAGTCCCTGAAATTTGATTTGATTAAGTTTAACTAACTTTAAGTCCAAATTAAAGCTGAAGGAAAACCAGTCAAGTAGCATTAATTTATAAGCTAAGAAACACTTTATGAATACATATCAACGCTATATCTGGAATACATATGTTACATTGGCTTATTACTGATAATTCAATAGCAAAAACCGAATGTGAGAAAATGTGTTCTTGTTGCAAAATAAGAACATGCATTCAGCAGGAAGCTAAGTCTTCCTGGGATGAGGGATGTGTTAAGGGGTGTGATGAGGGGTGTGATAAGGGATAGTCTCCCTGGGATGAGGGATGTGTCCAATTCCCAGTGCAAATCTCACCTGTTGCCCAATTGGATCACAGTACTGTGCACCAATTTGATCCTCCCTCCAGGTATCAGACCTAGAGTCAGACAAACCAGAAACACACACACCTCTTAATGCAAGCTAAACCACAATCTACCTACAGTTGTCTGGATCCACTCTTCCTCATCTAAATATCTATAACCAGAAGGAATGCCAAGACGTAAATACAGGCAGGACTCTCTAAATCTGATGGAGGTGCCTGTGCCTTGCTGACGAGGAGAGTCAAGATTTGCAGGACACTATCAGAATCCCGTGGGGCCACAATTCAGACTAGTGAGAAAAACGGGCATCGTATGTACTGAATACTTAGTTCAGAACCCCGAACCTTGTGCTGTAATACCCAAGGCACCTGTCATTTAGATCCGTCGTGGGGACTCCCCAGGTTTCCAGTTTGTTAAATGGCCCCTAGCTTCCTCCAGTGTTGGTTTCTACTGATCAGCTCCTCTAACTTCTACTCAAACACCATGGAGCTACAGCTCCCAGGAGGCCTGGCTTTATTTTCCATCCCCTTCTTTGCTCCCCTCAGATATGGACCCTTCAGTTGTCTCTGCCAAATGTCTGTGTTAAAGCTATTCTCCCTATTTTGTACATTAATGCAGGGAGGAGACTTGAAGATCTGTATATAATTAAACCCAAATGCTAGGCAAGGCACTGTCCAGAACCCTGAATTAAAAGCATGCAGATGTAGATCCAACTCACTGCTGGGAAGGGCAATTGTAAGTGCACTGCATTGCCTGTCTCTTATAGTCACCATTCACCAACCCTGATGCCATCGCAGGGGCGAAAGAACTACACATCAGGCCTACTGCCTCTGCTCTCGACCACGGCCACAGCAAAAGTGATTTGAGTGGCACATCCATGAACCCATTCCAAGTGGCATGAGGAGAGCCACACTTAGTGAACTCATGTGCACTGGTCAAACTGAAACCACAGAAGGAAGCCCCACATGGACACCTGAAGTATACTGGAGGAGGAGGAGGAGGAGGAGGAGGAGGAGGAGGAGGAGGAGGAGGAGGAGGAGGAGGAGGAGGAGGAGGAGGAGGAGGAGGAGGAGGAGGAGGAGGAGGAGGAGGAGGAGGAGGAGGAGGAGGAGGAGGAGGAGGAGGAGGAGGAGGAGGAGGAGAAGAAGAAGAAGAAGAAGAAGAAGAAGAAGAAGAAGAAGAAGAAGAAGAAGAAGAAGAAGAAGAAGACTGTCTCCTTAAGTTATGTCACAGGGCAGAATGAATGCCCATTGTGAGCAGAACTTAAGACACCTACAGAAAGAAATATCCAGTGAACATCACTCAATCACTCTAGCTAATGAGATGTCCGTTTTCCATGTTGCTAATTACTTATTTCTCAAAGCAGGTTGTAATATCTTTAATCTCTATTCATTTTAGCAAACAATAATTAATTTTTAGCTCAATAGTTACCTAAATCACTCATTGAACCTGAGATATCTGCCTTTGGTAATTCAACAACCACCTAAAAACAGAATATTGAAAAAAGATGAATACTGATAACATTTTGTAACTATAAAACAATCTAAGCAAAACATAGCTCTAATAAAATAACATGGTATATTACATCCTAAAAAGTTAATTGTTTCATAAAAAGGACTATAATCATTTCTTTAGAACTAATGACTTAGATTTGTTCATTATTTTATCTTACTCCTCTCCTCTCTCAGTAACCTCATTAGTAGCTCCCAACACAAGTTCTAACACCCTTCAGCACTGATGCTGCATTAGCATCTTTCTTACGCATTCCCAGAGGCCGACGGCCAGCATCCAATTCCATACCCCTTCACAGAACAGACGGTCTTACTGTCTCGGTCTGTTCTATCCCTGACCCATTGCCCCAGCCAGGTGTCCTCTCCTCCCAGATGGTTTCACTCCGCTGTAAGCATGGCCCCGCACTTCCTACTCACCCACACGTTGAGAATGCCACTGTTGTCCAGGGAAGCAATGTGAAATGATAAGCCTGCCATTTCTAGTGAAAGCAGAAACAAACACCAAGGAAAGGAGCTTTAATTATGAACAATGTTTTTGCGTAACCATCCCCTGAAGGGTTTCATGGGTACCAGGGCTCTCCTACCTTCTTGAGAAGAAAAGGGTGAGAGCACCAGGCTCTGTTTTTTGTAGGCAGATGTGACAACTGGTTCTATGGCTTGAAGAGGACTTTGGTGGTTCACTGACGTAAGGACTCCATCTACAGATTAAAGGCCCACAGTACCCACCATAAGTCATACATCTTAGCAATGAGATTAGCATTATATGTTAAGAAATGTGGGGATGCTTCTGGGTCTAGAGACCTGAACCTCTCCATACACCTCTCTCCTAAAGTCACAAGACTCTTGTAGACCACACATCAAGGTCTATGACCATGATTTTCAGCATCTCTAGCAAATGGAGACTACAAACTCAAAACACTTAGAAGAGGAAAGACAAGAAATGAACACCAGAGCGTGTGTCATTACAGAGCTGTTTCATCACTGAGGCAACAGAGGTCAACATTCTCTGAGACCAAGAGCATTGTGAAGATGAGGAACTCAAGTAGACACACAGGAGAAGAAGGGATTCTGAGGCCAGAATCCTCCAGGAAAGGCTGGGGAAAGGGCCCTAGAGAAGTGGCATTGATGGGCAAGTTATAAGGGAAGAGGACAGCATGGACTGGGTACACAGCAGTGCCAGCCAGAGCACAAGACTAAGCTGTCTTAAACGGGCATGCAGCCACTATCAGGAGAAATACCGCCACCCACAAATGAACGTAACACCTGCCTGCAGAGTTAGAAGCTCAGATCCCACATGCAGGCACTGCAGGAAGAAATTCAAACAAAGAGATCAAAGAATCAGCAGGCGTGACCATTCTCCTGCCCTACCCCATCCCAGAAGAAAGCACAATGCAGATGACAGGCAGTCTGAGATGGATGACATCTCTGCAGACTCCTTCGGGGGAAATGCACTTAAAATAACAAACAAATCACACCCTAGATCAAAACCCCACATAGAAACAGAAAAGAGGGGGTGGACTGAACTTAAGAAAAAGCTAATGAACAACACAGGGAAGAGACATTGCAGGCCGCCCAAGGGGAACATTCACATGGGACGTGTGACCGCCAGTCCTCCTTTAGAAGCTCCACAGTTTCACGCTCCTGAGTTCTGCTGCTGATACTTAGATGGCAAAAGGAAACAAAGGAAGCATGTTCATGGAGTATTTTATGAGCACTCTGCCATCCCTCTGTTCCCATCTGATTGGAAATGCACGGAAGAATGACTGTCCTGTACTGAACATGAGCAGACTTTTCCTGTCATTGCTCCCTCAAGACTGGTGCACAACAGCTACTCACACACCACACACACAGTCATTAGAGATGGCGTCAAGTACAAAGAGAACGTGCCTGTGCTATAGCAAATGCTGTTATAATTTCATATAAGGAAGCTGAAGGGAAGGAGACCATACTAGCATCCTGCCAGTACCATGCATGGCTTATGGATTTAATGCTGTGAGAACAATGCTTGACTGAAAAGTTTATTATATTAGCAGTTAGACAATGCCACGTTTTAAAAGATGCCTTTTGATTGTGTAATGGATAGTTTTCACCGTCACCTTAACATGATTTAGAGTCACCTGTGATCTTCAGTGAGGAGGATCTAGGTCAAGCTGGCCTGTGGGGATCCCTGTGACTACGCACTATTCCCTGGGCTGAGCACTAAACTTAGGAAAGGAGAGATTAAGCTGAGCTGTGGCATGCGGCATCCGTGTCCCCCTTCTTCTGACTGTGGACATAATGTGACCAGCTCCCACCAATGCAACTTCCCTGCTGTGACGGACTGTAACCTATACACTGGACTGTGAGCCAATAAAGCCTTTCCCCTTCAAGGTGCTTTTCCCAGGATAGTTTATTACAGCATCAGGAAAGAAAACTTAGCAAATTTTATGTTGTTTTCTCTGTTTGATAAAAAAAAGATACTTTTTATAATAGCATCAATATCCATATGGAGTGAGGTCTGGACCCTTTTCTCCAATAAGACAAATACTTAGATTAACAATTATGAGGTAAATACTTAAGTCAGAGATAGCCAGTAAGAAACCAAGCAAATGCCCAACAGCTTCATAATTGATATAGTATCACGTGTTATTTGGGGACTGCAACTGAGGCAGGGCCCAGGCGGATTGCGGGGAAAGCTGCACTCTACAAATGGTGTCAGAACTGAGATATAAATTTCCATGTAGAATAACAAAAGCTTAAAAGGAATTTTAGAAACAAAAGAACGAAGAGAAGCATGGCCTCTTGGTAGCAGCATTTTTCTGAGGTGGGCTCTGTTTTGCCAGAGACAAGCAGAGACTCATGTGGCTCACTTAAGGCAGTCTTCCTGACTCAACATAAGCAAAAAAAAAAAAAGAAGAGCAGCATGGTTCTTTAAGAGGCTCTGTTAACAACTGAATGGTGTGCACGAGCATCTGGCAGTGGCAGTGACCACATCTCCAAGCCGGCACCATGATGCTGGATGTCAGTATAGACTTACGCCTGCCATGTTGGAAAGCCAGCAGCTGTTTCCACTTTCATTTTAGCGATGTTCTTTAGTTTGTATAAGACACATGACCAGAAAAACATGAAGTTTTACAGTAAAGTCAGATTCAGGCGAAGAAAACCCTCTAAAGGTTTACAGTGTGTTTAAAAATATACATAGGACTGCTGGGAGGTGGTGGCGCACGCCTTTAATCCCAGCACTCGGGAGGCAGAGACAGGTGGATCTCTGTGAGTTCGAGGATGCGCTGGACCGACAGCCTCCAAAATAATACAGAGAAACCCTGTCTCATAAAAACCAAAAAAAAAAAATATATATATATATATATATATATATATACACATACATATGTAGGATTGAGAGAGAAAAAGAAACGACATAGTGGTAAATAAATAGAGAAGCTGGCTGTAGTGGCGCACACCAATAGGATTTGCTCCAGAGGCAGAGGCAGGCTGATTTCCAGAGAAACCCTGTCTCAGAGAAATGAATAAATAAATAAAAGTAAAAGAAATAGAGTAATAATAATAGATTTGCTCCAGAGGCAGAGGCAGGCCGATTTCCAGAGAAACCCTGTCTCAGAGAAATGAATAAATAAATAAAAGTAAAAGAAATAGAGTAATAATAATAGATAAATAAACAAGCCACGTAAAAATGGAAAATACACAGAGAATCTAGATACTGTATGCCATTGTGTTTTTCAGTTTTTGATTGCTAAAGAAGGAAAAACTACTAAAGTATTCTTGATTATAAATGCTGCTAAATTAATTCAACTTACATATTCCAAAAATGCTTTGACTTCTAACTTTAAATATAAGGACCAGTTACTTGAAATAAGAGTTTTTGTTTATGTTTCCACAGAAAATGGAAAGCTGTGGATTCCTTCCAGGCTGCTGTGGTTTGATGAAGCAAGACCCCCGGAAACAGTGGGTCAGGTGTTTCAACAATTGAGACAGCTGAGATGATACAGCCTTACAGACCACAAAAATAAGGACTTATACAGGTTTCTAAGTTTTGTCATGATCCCCATGGTATGAACAGTGCCCCCATCCAACAGGAAACAGTTTAAAATGAGATACGTCCAAATTCCCATATTGTTTATAAATCTTTGTTTTCATTTGAATGGGGTTGCTTATAATTGGTTAATGATCATAACCAATTTCTTTTTAATGGTAAAAGGGGTATTATGGTATGGAAATGAATACTTGATATGAGTATGGTTTTTCATTTATTGATACAAATTCAGGGTCAATTTTGTGATGTGTATATTTCTGCTCTTGATTCAGTACTGTGTTTATACTACTCTTTTAAAATATAATGCATAATTAAATACAGATTATAGATAGTTACTTATAATAGATAGAACTTATAGTTAGGTAAGTTAGGTTTTCTAGATATACAGAGATGTATTTGAGATAAACAGATAGTCTTCAAACCTCTCAAAGGCCTTCAGAAAATGACACTTAAAATCGTTTAGGGTTTTTCTTGACATTGAAAAATGTCTGCTCCTAGCACATCAATTACATCTGAGAGGAAGATGGGCATCAAAGAAACTGGTTATGGAGTTTGCTTTCAACATGGCAAGATTAGCCATTTGGGCAAGAAACTGCTCTTGCCTAGACTCCTTGACTGTTGCTGTATAATCTGGACATGCAGGACTCACAGGAAAGTGACTGCTGAACTCAAACAGTCCTTCAGGGTTCCTGCTTCATGGAAGAGTCTACGAGACTTTCTGCAGGACACAGAAAAATGACTGACAGACTGCCAATGCAGATGGACAGTTTGAAATTTCATACTTTGCTGAGAAGTCTTCCAGATACACTGTGGCCTATGGGCTGAAGATGGATACCCCCACATTACAGAGAAACTTTAGGTGATTGTCCAGGCAGCAAGATGTCTCTGTCAGTCCTAGTGTTTATATATTATCCTTCTGTGGTCTTTTATGGAGTTGAAGACAGATGGTTATAATTATAGTTTTCCTTAGTTATGATAAAAGATAAGCTACATATAAGACTTTAGACTCACAAAGATCGGATAGATGATATTTTCTTTAAATCTTACTAAATATTAATGGACAAAATATTGTAACTATATTCTTACTTGATAACTGTTGATGTTGTATATAATTTGACTATGCTAAAGTTAAAACCTTTCTTTTTATTTAGACAGAAAAGAGGAGATGATGGGGAAGTCCTGTGTATATGTCAATAAAGCACTGTTGGCCAATAGGGAAGCAAGATAGGTGGGACTAGGAGTCCAGGAGGATTTGGGAAAGAGACAATGTAGCCCACCACTGGAGTAAGAGGTCTGGACCCTTTTCTCTGGTATGAGAAATACTTAGATTAACAACTATGGGGTAAATACTTAAGTCAGAGATAGCCAGTAAGAAACCAAGCAAACGGCCAACAGCTTCATAATTAATATAGTGTCCTGTGTGTTATTTGGGGACTGCAACTGGGCAGGGCCTAGGTGGATGGTGGGGAAAGCTACACTCTACACAAACACTCTCCACAGCAACAATATCTTCCCAAAAGAGCAGAAACTGGTTAGCAGAGAAATAAAAAAAAAAATGGCTTGCTCTTCTTATGTATAAAGCAATGGTATAAATACAGCACAAAGAGAGGAAAGATTACCTGTGATGTTGAGTACTTGGAGAGGGACGAAAATAAACCTACTTAAAAGCCATACTTAGTCAAAAGAATGAAAAGAATCACAGAATAGGAGAAAATACTTGCAAAACCCTTACCTCATAAAAGTCTTTTATCAAAACTCAAATATTGGAAAACAAGCAATTTTAAGGGGGAGCAAAGACCTTAATGGGCACACAGATGGCAGATGAGCATAAGGAAAGACATGACTGCTCCAAGTGTCACAAGGGAAATGCAAGTCACACCACAAGGAACCACTGCAAGCAAGCACAATGACCCAAACCTACAGCAGAGGTCACGCTGAATGCTGGGGAGGGTACAGAGCAGCAGCCGGCCTCGCTGACCGCCTACAGGAATGCAGCCAGCATAGCCACTCTGAAAGACAGCTGGCAATTTTTCACCGATCAATACAGGAGACTCTGGCTTTACAGGTCCTTATGACAAAACACCTGACAAGAGCAGCTTAAGAAAGAAAGGGTCGCCTTTGATCCCAGCACTCGGGAGGCAGGGGCAGGCGGATCTCTGCTAGTTCAAGGCCAGCCTTGTCCACAGAGAGAGTTCCAGGACAGCCAGGCTTACAAAAAAAAATAAAAAAAGTAAAAAATGAAAGAGAAAGAATGAAAGAAAGAAAGGGAAGGAGGAAGGAAGGGAGGAAGGAAGGAAGGAAGGGAGAAAGGGAGGAAGGAAGAAGGAAGAAAGGAAGGGAAGAGGTTAACTCTGGCTCACTTTCCGGGACACGGCCATAGGTCAGGGGTTGTAGCATTACATCTGCAGTCAGGAAGCAGAGAGAGGTCAAAGTCCAAACTGTTTGGTTTCTCTCATATATGCAGCTGCGACCCCAGGCCATGGAATAGTAAGTTAAGTCTTCTTATCTCAACCAACTAGAAAATCTCTTACAGACATGCCCAGAGGCTAACTTAATCTAGACAATCCCTAATTACCATGCCTAGAGGATTATCTCATAAGTAAACCTAGATCCTGTCAAATTGAAAATCAGTATTTAGTCATTATATTTGGTATTTACCCAGACAAGGTGAAAACAAGTCCACTCAAAAACCTATATACAAATAGTAGCAAAATCATTCTTTCAGTAAGATAATTGATAAATTCATAATGTTTGTTTTTTTATATTTTTTATTTTAAGAACATAAAGGAAAATTATTTGGCCATTAAGCCACTAAAAAAGAAAACATGACAGAAACTTACACACTTAACCTTACCCAATCTGAAAATGTTTACTCCACTTTATTCCAAACATAGAACTTTCTGGAAATGGTACAAACTACAAAGACAATGAAAAGTTCAGTGATGGCCAGAAGCAGGAAGGATGCACACCAGAGAGGCCTCACTTGAGACACATCATATTCAAACTGATGAGAGCCACATGACCAACAGAAGCTTTGAATACAGTGAAAATGGCCATCAAGAATGACAACTTCAATGGGACACTCATATACAAAATAATAATAATATATAAACATATAGACTAATACCTCTTGTCATACAAGCCAGACCTAAATGTAAATCCTAAACTTACAAAAGTTCAGGAAAACATGGGCAACAACCCAACCTCTGTGACTTTTAGCTGACTAATGACATCAAAAGCATGGTCATAAGAGAGAATATTGAAAAATCAAATTCTACCAAATTTAAACCTTTCTCTTCAAAGGACAATCTTACAAAAGAAATACGGACTACGATAAAACACATGTAAAACATATTCAGACTGTATAAAGCTCCAAGACTTAATAGGCTGGGGATTTAGCTCAATCTGGAGAGTTTGACCTGGCAAATACAAAGTCCTGGGTTCAGTATCTGGCACCATGATAACAACATGAAATACATTTGGCAGGCATGAATCATGCCTGCAATCTCAGCACTCAAGAGGCTGAGGTAAGAGGACTTCTGCAAGCATAAGACAGCCAGACTCCACAACAAGACCGTCTCTCCAAAAACAAACAAACAAACATGGGTAAGAAGACAATTCGGTAAAAAGTGAGCAAAGATTGAACGGGCATCACCAACAAGAAGACTCAGTGAGGATACACTGAGGATCAGTGCAGGAGAGGTATGGAGTGACAGCTGGCATGCTGGGATAGAGCACCAAGGAGCGGAGGGGATGAGCTCTGCCACTCTCAGCAGCGAAGAACCCCAAAAGACAAGCACGAGTCTCGTCCCCCAGCATCTGGACAAGGCAGACTGGAGACAGAATAACGACAGAAAACAGACCAGTGCCCTGCGGGAAAACAGAGAAACCAAGTGCTGGAGCGGTGTTGTGTGCTCCTCAACTGAACAGGAAAGGGACAAGACTGGGGAAGAGTGAGGAAGAGGAGGAAGGTCCATTCCTGCTCTCTCAGCCAATGGGAGGTCAGCTCCTACAGGAAGAGACCCATCAACAAAGGCCATGGCGCCAAAGCCTAACGACAGAACGGATGGCTCTGAGTGCAGAGCCTGCCCGCGTAGTCAGTGTGGCATAGACAACATCCCACCCTCCTCTGAGCAACAGGGATGGAGGTCTAGCAGAGAATCGAACGAGCCCTTGTACATGAATCACTTAAGTCCTTCAGGTGGGAAATGCTTACTCTTTGTGTTCTTATGTGCCCATGTGTGAGTGGGTACACATGCAAGATGTCCATACGGAGACCAGAGGGCTGGCATCAGGTGTCTTCCTTGATAACTATCCATGCTATTTTTTTTTGGAATCAAGGTCTCTCATTGGGCCTAAAACAGTGGTTCTTATCCTTCCTAATGCTGCAACCCTTTAATACAGCTCCTCGTGTGTGATGACTCCCCCAACCATAAAATTATTTTCATTGCTACTTCATAACTCTAAATTTGCTACTGTTACCAACTGTATCTGATACTCAGGATATCTGATATGCAACCCTGTGAAACAGTTGTTCAACCCCCAAAGTGGTTGTGACCTATGGGTTGAGAACCATTGGTCTAGAGCTTGCCCGCTGGTAAGACTAGCTAGCCAGTGAGCTGTATCTACTCCACAGAGAGATCACAGGTTTGTACCAGTTCACCCCGCCAAAAGGGGTGTGGGGGCTGGGGATCCAAACTCAGGCCTCACATTGTACAACAAACACTTTACCCTCTAGTCATCCTCCTAGCCCCAAAAAAACGCTCATTTATTTTTTGTCATGGTGGCTATGGTCTAAAATGGTATGAATTGTTCATCTAAGTAAAACTAAGGACCTGTCCCCCAAGAGGTAACAACTCTTTGTACTTCACCACTCCGAGCATTCACTACAGTGCTACAGTGGTGTCTATTACTACTACACCTTGGCTGCTTAGAACACTCAAGTTAGGAGAGAGGTGCAACTCAGTGTACAGCGCCCACCTCGGCCTTGAGTTTGGTCCTGGAACCCATAATCAACTAGTCAATCTAAAATTTATTTTGCTGGGGAGGTTTTAGAATCCACACATTTAACATGAAAGAATACCCCAAACTTTGCTGGCCACTCAACGAGGACTACCAGAATGGACTCGGTCTTCTCTGTTTATCAAAGGCCTCCTTTGTCCACAGTCTGACCTCAGAGCTGCCCAGGCTTTTCTAGAGAACAGACAACACTGACCGGTGGAAAACGTGGGGGTCCTGAAGGCCCAGAGACAGTTGCTCAGCCTCACATAACTGTGTATCCTGGAGTCTTCTCTTAAGTCCCAAAGCACCACGGAGCCGTGCACTGTTCCCGCAAACAGCAAAAATGCTTTTAAAGGGCTGAAGCAGCAACATGTGACCTGAAAAGTGAATCACAGAAAGTTAATGCCTAAAATATATGATAGTCACACTAAGTGTGGTATCTAACACAGATACAGGTCCCCACAGGATGCAGTTAAGGAGAGCCCACAGGATGCAGTTAAGGAGAGCACGGACCTGTGCATATAAAATAAAATTCAATTGCCCAAGTGTGGGTTTGTTCACATGGACAGTAGAGTAAGAATGTGGTCACAAGGACTGCATCAAGTTCACATCTGGGTCCATAAAATGTGCTTAACGATTCTTTCCATTCAGTGCAGCTGTCTGGACCTCACAAGTGGTTAAGTCATTGTTTGACATTTTATTTATGGCGTTTACTGCAAACTTACCCACTTTCAAGACTCTAAAATCGACACCCGAAAAGGTGTTCTTCACATAGTTGGAAGAGACAGATGGTCTGGGTGGGTCAAGGAACACAAAGACATAGAACTTCCCAATCAAAGATGAAGTATATATATGTGAAAGGGAAGATGGCCGGCGGACCGGTGAATAACAGGACCAGAGAATCTGAGTGAGTGGCCAAGGCACTCACTGCCAGCAATTTCAAGAAATTGCACAATGCATGGTGGGACACATCTACAATCCTCGCACTCAAGAGGTAGAGGCAGGAGATCAGAAGTTCAAGGTCAGATGCACAGAGAATTCAAGGCCAGCCTGGGTTATGACATGCTTCCTGTCAGGGGAAAAAAAGGAAGAAAGAAAAGAAAAACAAAGAAATCACAAGAATATCACGACATCTAGAGTATGATCCAAACATCCTACTCATGGCAATCCTCACGGTGTTTTTATCAAGCCTACAACTATGTTCATTTCCTAGTTTATAGGTGACTGAGAGCCTCCTGCATGATAATCCTGGGTTTCTCTGTAGGAAATGATTGTTAAACTGTGAATTTCTAGAGTTGGAACAAATGTGTTTTGTCACCTATGGGGAGCCAAGGGCACTAGAAACAGGACATGACTTATGCTCTCATACTGCCTGTTCTCTCTGCACCCTCTCCCTCTGGGAAACAAGCACAGACTCCTCCTGAGTATACCTTTGACTCACATATCAGAACCTTCTGGGGCCCTGAAGGCTGCCAAATATCCCACACACAGAGGAGGTGCCGGCTGTCCAGAGATGGCGCAAACGGCTCTTCAGGTAAGTCATGAACAGAGACCACAGTCTGTCTCTGAACTCGAGAGGCATGCAGACAGGAGACTTTCCTACCTGGAGATGAGAAAAACATTTCACTTTAGCATTGAAAGCATTTCAGAATTCTCACATATAGTCTAATTCAACGAAGAAGCAGGTGTGGTCTGTTCAGAGCTGAATAAAGACGATGTCTGGAGTGCTGCTGTTGAGACAAGTTACCACATAAACCTGGTCCCCTCAGCATGCTCTAACTGAGGGTGACCTTGAACTTCTGACCTCCCTGCCTCTGACTGAACCACCACAGTGAATTATGCAGTGCTAAGGACTGAGCACCAGTCTAGGAAACACTGCACCTAAGGAGCTAGGTCCTCAACCCCAAAGCTGGGATTCTGATCAACGCCTACAGCATAAACCTAAATTCTGTGTCCACACTGACCCTGTGGCTTCAATAAAGGGAAACCCTTTCTCTGTGGTGCAGTGTAGGTCAGGACAGGCCACTTCCTCTCATCTGCCAGCTCCTCACACCAAGTGGATGGGAGTCAGAAATTCAGCCCCACACTGGAAATGACTGGAGTGGTCTTCCTTCCATGGCACGCGGCTAGGACACCGTTGTTAGGAACCTCAGTTCTCTTTATAACAGCCCTCAGAGCTCCATACAAGAAACTACTCTAATTCAAAGCCAGCTGTAGCTTTCCAAGAATGGATTCCAAGACTTCTGTGGCAGAGCTGCTCTCCCTACAGTTCTCATTCGCAGAGCTTTGATAAAGTGAGGAAAAGAAGAATATTAAGCCATAGTCTAGTGAGAATTTTGTAATACTAGCTAAGTAACTACACCTGCTAACCTGACACCCACTGTCCATGCCTACTGGATCCTGAAGTCACAGCCCATACCATCCACACCTGGGATCAAACTCGTTCTCTTCCATCCCCTCAGCCACTCACGGCCATCCCCTCAGGGCTGCCTCCTCCAGCAGCCTGAAATTCTCCTCCAGCAAAGGGATGACCGTGGTTATATGTGCTTCATCACAATTCATGAGCAAAACCCTGCCACCACTGTTACTGGATTTCTACTGTGAGTGTGTGTAAGCACGTGTACATGATGGGAGGGGTAAGTACATGTCCAAACCAGAGGACAACTGTATGGAGTCAGTTCTCTCCTCCAAAGCGCTTTGTACATGATTGAACTCAGGCTGTCCCTATCCTCTGAGTCACCTCACAGGTCTGGCTTCTAGGTTTAGTGACACCAATAAGGTTTCTTTTCTCTTTTTTACGTTCATTTATTTTGTGTGTGAGTCAGCTTCTAGTGCATATATTCACACAGTATAAAGGAATCTTCCACATTTCCTCTTTAACTTTACTTAGAAAAAACTATATGTAACAAAAACAGTTGTCAAATCTAAAGACAACACAATAGCATACAGAATCTAGACTCTCTGTGTATTTCCCATCTTTACGTGGTATATTATATGTTCTTTATTACTCTATTCCTTTTTTAAAGACTTTGTTATTTTTAAGCTATTTTTGTTCTTATGACTGTCTATACCATTCCTCTTTTCTCTCACAAGCCTGTGTACACTTTTAAAATACACTGTAAGCCAGTTAGAGGTTTTATTTCCATCTGGAACTCTCTTTACTGCGCATCTGCAATCTTTTCTGTCTGCTTGAGAAAGTTTAAATCCGCCATGCAACCTGAGTTCATGGCATGCTGGCAGTGCTCACACTGTTGTTTCAACCTGCAGCAGCAGCTGGGAGACGTGTCTGTGCACTGCAGCTGGCATGAGACACATGAGCAGAGGAAGCTGCGTTTGGACCCAGTTTCTTGTGTGTTTATACTCCAGGGAGACCAAGGCCGGAGGCTCAGGAGTTCAGTGACTGCCTAGCAACTGAGACACTGTCTATGAATGAATGAATGAGTGAGTAAGTAAATAAATAGAAGCCACGTGGTTATGGCACACACCTTTAATCCCAGGACTAAGGAGGCAGAGTCAGGTGGGTCTCTGTGAACTCAAGGCCAGCCTGGTCTACAGAGTGAGTTCTAGGACAGCCAGGGCTGTTACGGAGAGAAACTCTATCTCAAAAAAACATAATAAATAAATAAACAAATAAAAATTAAAAATTCAAATTTGGCCTTGAAAATATAGTTCGTTTAAACTAATTTAAATACTCTGATATCATATGCTTTATCTGTTTGCCATTTGCATAGCTGTGTATTCTCTGAGGAACTGCTTGAAAAGAATTATAAGACTTAAAACAGACAGACAATCTCATTCTCCATTTACTAAATAATTTCCCTAATTTAAATTGCTGCCAGACCTCTTCTAATTAACTCATGAAAATCATAAATCATAAATTTAAGAAAAGAACCCTCACCATTCACTTGCAATTCTGCAGCCACTGAGTCTTTCTCTGTTTCATACTCAATAAAACCTCACCACGGAAGAAGACTGTAACATTAATGGTCATTATTTCAATGTAAATGCTTGTGTTTGCCTATAAACCGACAGCAGGGGAGGCCTTTTACCCTGAAGGAACGGCAGGCTCGTGTTCAGCTGGGAGGAGCTGTCACTGATGCTCAGAGCTGTGTCTTGAGCCCGGGGATTCCAGCTGGGTCCAGAGGCCAAACGGTCCTCTTCAAGCAAAACAGCAACCACCTGTGAAAGACACATAAGCAGGGGCTGGAGAGAAGGCTCAGCAGTTAAGAGCGCTCTCTTGCAAGGACTTGGGTTCAATTCCCAGCACCTCCATGGTAGCCCACAGCCACCTGTTACCGCAGCCCAGGGACTCTTCTGGCCTCTGCAGGACCCTGTACAGTGCACACATATGACACACAGATACACAGGCAGGCAAAACACCCAAACACATAAAATAAAAGTAAGTTTTTAAAAATCCAAAAAGAAAAACCATCTCAGAGACAAAGCGTCTTCCTTAAAATGCTAACGGCGGACTTTCTTTTCTTTAAAAATTACCTTCTGTAGATTCCATTTCTGAAAATAAATGCTTGTCTCCACCGAGTCATAACTTAAAAAAAAGCATGTCCTTTTTGCATACTATCAGTTCACTGATATAATGTCACAGAATGCCATTATTTCACGTTACAAGCTGTTTCCTTCACTAACTATGATGTTAAAATTTCAGAGGGGGAAGGGAGCCTGCATATCTAACACCCTCAAACAGAAAGGCCCTAGGGAGAAACAGCCACCACATCCACTGCACCCTAAGAAGCGCCAAATGTCTGAAACTGACCTGACGAGGCTGTCTCTAGACTGTCAGGAGACTTAGAGATGAGCAGAAAATGAGAAGCCGGGACTCCAACAATCCTTCTTTTTTTAGAGATTTATAGTGAAATATATATATATATATATATATGGAATTAAGGCTTTGATGAGCAGGGTTAGTTTCAAAATAATCAGGGGGATGATGAGAAAGGGGAATGAGAAGGAAGGAGGAGCCAGGTAAGGGGGCATCTGATGCAGTGCATGGGGCCTCACAGCTACACACTTTGAAATTTTCTGTAGCCAGTCATTAAAATCTAGAGTTTACTTAAATACTGTAAAGATTTACACTTGTTTTGCCCGATTAACATGCTTAAGAGTCTACAATTATTTTCAACGGTAGAAAATTGTTATTACTAAAGTATAGAACCCAAGACCACAGAATTATCAGTGGCGTATATTTGCCTAGTGTCATTTTGCATACGAGGACCTAGTAAATGCATTACTGATAATCTGTAGGAAAATAACACTTCAAAGCAGAGAACTGACTCTGACTCGCGAAGCTCCGAGATCTCAGTAGCTCTGTCTGTGAAAGTGACGAGCCCTTAGCCACTAACACAGAAGGGAAAGTGACGAGCCCTTAGCCACTAACACAGAAGGGAGTGCACAACACAGAGTGTACCTGGCATGCCGCCCGGAGAAAGCTAGACAGCCGTGGCGTGTCAATCTTTGGTACGACTGTGGCATCAGAGATGTCTTTTTCTTCACTCCCTACAACAAAATACAGGCTTATTAAGTTAATGATTGACGCAAAAATGGTTATGCTCTACAAATCACAGCATTCAAAGCAGAGTTGCAAACACTGAGAACCCTAGGAAAAGTCACAACACTGCATTACACTGTCTGTTTGTGGTTGTTTGCAATTTCCCATTGTTCTATATACGTTCATGAGCTGACTCCAATGCAACTGTCTTAAGGAAGGCAGTAAAAGAAAACAGTGTGTTCGGTGCTAGTTTTAGGTTCCAGGTCAATGATCTACAGATGAGAAATCTACAACACTTATAGTCTGGGGCACCTGAAATCAGAGACACCATGCCTACACCTTTCTTATGGTGAGGTCTACTTAAGGATATATTCCTTGCTCTATAGAGACAATTCCTTAAGGAAAAAAAAAAAAAACAACAACCAGTAATGTATAATCCATCTGGAGAGATGCACAACTCTGTGTTCTAGAAATCTCTGATCTGCACTGACAGAACAGATCTTCAAATTATACTTAAAAAGTAAAATCTAGACTGACGACAACAAACTATCCCAGTGTCAGAACAGAGTTTGTCCTGCACCCATGTGATGAGGATTTGGAACACAGTACCATCCATGCCCACTGCATTACAAATCCAGGTCAGGGTTCAGACCATGGCTCCAGGCCAGTTTAATGATTCCCTGTGATTCAGCAGCTCCAGTCTCAGTCATTAACACGAACTAATTTGTTTCTTCAAAGGAATATTGAAGGGATGCTTCCACAGTCATATACTGACAAGCACATCACAAAGAAACACACAAGAAAAGGTAATTAAGTAAAAACAAAACAAAACCCACTGCAAAGAGAGCAGAGAGCCAACACTCAAGAGTAGCACAGTTACCTCCAGATACAACAGTGCCCTCTCCTGGGTGCTGGGTCCACACTTCCCTGGTTTCTATGTCCTCAGTCTGAACATCTCTCTCAACGCTATCTTCATTGTACTGAACATAAGCCTTTGAGGAAAAAGATGGTTAGAATTAACATCTAGCTTCCACTTTAGAGCAATTTGCCATTACTGAAGATAAAAGCGATGACGATTTTTCAAAAAGTCAGTAAACTTTAAAAATTTTAAAGGTGAACATTCTTGGGGCTGGAATAAGGCTGGCCTGTGGGGGGCTTTCTCAAACATTAATTGATGTGGGAATGACCCTCCTAAAAGCGGGTGACATAGTTCTCTGGGCTCGGGTTCTGGGTTCTATGAAAAGGGAGAACATGAGCCGAATAGAGCTATGCACACTTCTGTTCTTCTCTGCAGACTGCAGACGGAACGTGACCAGTCAGCTCAGGCTCCTGCTGCTGAGACCTCTCTACTGTGGCAGGCAGTAGCCTGAACTTGTGAACTAAAACAAATTCTTTGTCCCCAGCTAAGCTGCTTTTGCCAGGGTGTTTTATCAGAATGACCAGCAAAGAAGCGAGACACTGTCCTCTGAATCAATTGTTCACCATGCCCAACAGGCAGGGTGTTCTATCAGAAGGACCAGACACTGTCCTCTGCATCAGTTGTGCATCATGCCAAGCAGGCTATCTCTAGACTTTGCATCCTTTGAGTCTATGAGAACGAGTTATAAAGGACACCCTTTCAAATACAGCCTTCACAGACCACTCCAATGTTCTAGAACAGACACACGGTACACACTTACACTACACTTCCAATAGATAACACATCTTTTACTAACCTGCTTGGTATTTTTTTTCCCGAAGTTCCTAATATACATGTCATACTCATTTACTGGTGGTAGGTCCAAGAGAGAAAAAGTGAACGAATAGTCTAAATCAATAAGCCGGAGCAGCTTTGTACTTCGTGTCCTTTAAAACAGATTGGAAACAAAAGTCAAATTGAATAATATACTCAGAGGCACGCAGGAGGGTGTATTTTAGGGTTACATGGAAGTAATCAGAATAAGTCTAAGTACTCAATAATTAATTAAAATAATTAAACAGAAGCTGAGGGTGTAACTCATTGGTCAAATGTTTTCTTAACTTAAAGGAAGGAGACCCTTCATTAGAGCCCTGGCAGAAGAGGAAAAAAAACCTTAACATAAACAGTCACAAAGTAACAGTGTGAATATATCACGAACCAAATGTGTGATTGGTCCACTGCGGCAGACTGAGGTGGGTAAAATAGCAACATATGTATACCAGAATTTTCCTGACCAGAAATTCGCTTCTTTTCAAGATTTAGTGTCAGCTAGCAGGATGACATTTCTGTACTGTCAGCCACTGTGACAGCCAGGTGTGTAGCCTACACACCCTCCTGGGGGTGCTCCCCACAGAGAACAGCATCTGAGCCAGTGATCCCAGATACCAGACACCCAAACAACCGTCACTTGGTTTCCTCTTGCTGCCTCACAGTCTTCCTTCCTAACCATTTGCATTGGTTTCTTTTTTTTTTAATTCCAGACACCCTATAATGTAATAGCATCTTGCTTTGCCAGTGAACTTATGGTAGTGGCCACATCCTAGGGGGCGCAGGTTCGAGCCCCCCATTGGGCACCAGTTGGAGGCGGGGCTTAAGACCCAAGATAAATGATTGACAGGTATTTATTAGGGAAGCACTTACACAATTAATGGTAAATAACCACCGCAGTCTTCCTGTTCCTGAAGACGCCGTCTCTGCCCTTCTGATGCTCTCACCGCAACCCAGAGAGCGAGCCAGCCCACCTCTTCCTTATAAGAGGTCACATCTGCTCACCTGAAGCCACACCCCTAGGACGTGGCCAGTAACCGCAAGTTCACCGTCAAAGCAAGATGCCAGTACACCCTGATGCTGACGCAGACAGAGCCTGGATTCAACCTTCGCGTTAGCTATCCACCGCCACCCCCACGCCCCACCCCCGTGGAAAGCAAGCTGAGGGAGAAAGGGGCTTTCGTTTCTCCCACTCGCCAGCACTCCCACGCCGCGGTGTTCACTACGTTATGAACGAGGGGTGGCCCTCCTCCAGCATCTCGAAGCTGTGTGTTCTCAGCTCTCTCCCCACCCCACCCGTCCTTCTCTCAACTCAGTCTTTACAGCCGCTGTGACTCTCCCGTCACCTGATTCTCTGCCACCATCCTCTACCTTCCTGCTCACTGCCTTCAGCTCTGTCTCCAAAACTTCGTCCGCTGTAAGGCCCCCCGCCACAGAAGAGCTCTCTCCACGTTCCCTGGCTGCCCACATCTCTGTGTCGGTGGCTCGAGACGGGCTCGGCTTACTGTGTCCACGGATTCCTCTGGCTGCCCCAGCATCAGCCACAGAAAATCACCCTTGCTCTACTACGGCACAGCAACCACAAGGAATCAGCCGCGGCGGTCCCATGGCTGACGCTCCCCACCCTGTACTTAATCAGACTGATTTCTTGTGCTAAGAACACAGCATGAGGGCTGGAGAGAAGGCTCCGCCATTAAAGGCGAGGCTCACAACCCAAATGTAAGGACACCACGTGATCACTGGGTTTAATAACTATCTTTGGCGTCTGAGTTTGAAGGTGCTAATCTTTGCTCCTTCAATAATGTCTTCACTACTCTTGACTCTTAGTATTTCTACATAATTTCTAAACCAGCATCCTGAAAGGTATGAATTCACACATACCCTCATTGGAGTTTATAATACGATGACACTTTTCTTTTAAATTCCTGGGTCTTCATAACACGTGCTACCCGGTAGTCTGTGTGGAGATCTACATGCAATCATGTTATCCAAGGCCTACTCTATGATGAAACTTTAATGACTAGTATACATAAACACAATTGACTGCCATATATTTTTATGTAGTATCTTTGCTAAATTCATTCAGTATTCACATTTTTACTATATTATAGGTTAATCTATACATTTTAAAGTTCTATTGATAAATCACGCAGCTAGTAAAATATAAGTTTTAGATTTTTCTAGCACGTGTAATTTTTTTTTTAACCCTCACCCTTAGCACGTGTAATTTTATTCATTTTCACCTAATTATACAGGAGTAAAATGGTAGATATCCACACCTGTCTCTAGAATTGGAAACCTTCACCAGAACATATGAAACTACTTGTTGAATTTTTTTAAAGATATTTTCTCAGTGTGGTCTCGAAAAACAGAAATTTTCAAGAATACTTTTGGCTTAGTTGAATTTATTGCAAACGATTTCAATTTTACAGATTTCTGCTCTTACCTTTTATTTCATTTCTAATTAATTGCTGCCTTTTCCCAAGCTCTTGGCATGGCTGCTTGAGCCACTCTCCCGATCTCTCTTCACTGCGTGCCTGCTGGAATAGGCTCAGTGCTTCCCCAGACAGAGGTTTCATTGTCACCACTAAAAGCAGTTTGTGAGCCTGGTTGTGGCTCAGTGTATTTGTCTAGTACGGATGGGCCCTCAGTCTGACCACCACCAAAGGTTCTCCTAATTTCTTCTTTTACTTATGTTCACCAGGAAGCACAACGTTTAATTTTCTAACTTCCAGGAATTTCCTACTTGACTTTTTAATTGACCAGGAGCTTAATTCCATTATGGTCAGTGATACGCTATATCACTTTGGTCCACTGATGAGAGACTGTTTAAATGTTGTAGATCTCTATCATATTTTTGTTTGTACTAAATTTCTATCACCAAAAAGAAAAGTGTGTTAAAAAAAAAATCTCTGTGTGTGCTGGAGAGATGACTCAGCAGTTATGAAAATGTGTTGTTCTTGCAGAAGACCCAGATTCAGTTCCCAGCACCAGCATGGTAGTTCACAACGCCCATAATTCCAACACCTTCTTCTGACTTCTATGGGCACCAGGCATGTGCATGATGCATAGACATATATGAGGGTAATACACTCATTCACGTAAAAAAATACTTAAATCTAAAAAGACTACTTTAAAAAATCATTTAGTATATCTCCTTCGGGTTGGCACTTTACACTTGTCTTGTAGAGCTTGGTCCTGGTGGTCCTCGCTGTTCCTAGTTTGTGCTTACTACTGTGTTTTAGATACAATTTTCACAGTTGTTTTTAGCTGAGGTGGTTTTCTTTCCTTTTTTTTTTTTTTTTTGTACAAACTGTTTGCTATAGAAACAGGTCAGAGTCCTGTGCCAATCTTTTGAAACTCACTAGTTCAAAAAACGAATGCTGCTCTGACAACTGTACGTTGCTCATTGGGTAGATGCATTTCACACATCCTAGAAAACTGCCTCTCAAAAGTCCTGTAAAACTATTACAGCCAAGATTCTATCCTATGCTCTCACTGGACATTGGGACACAGTCACTGTTTTAGCATTTCATCTATTCCACACAGAAGTACTCATCTCTATGAGTGAATGAATACAGGCTTACGACCGACTAACAGATTGCATTTCATTCATGTACTGGCAACACAACTTTTTTCTGTTGACTCACTGTCACTCAAGGCCCATCTGGTGGAAGACTATGGAAGAAGACAAGAGAGAAAAAAAAGCTCTCTTTTTCCCTGACCCTCTCACCCTGCCTGTAACATCTCTCTGGGGCTCCAGGTCTTGCTCGGCAGTCACGGGGGTCCAACAACCCCAATCACACTATCATAGACTTTGTGGGAGGCTAAAATTAAAATTATGGCCCCATAGATTCTGCAGGAACAATGTTATACATGTTTTAACTCATTTGAAAGACTGCGCTTAGATATGAGTATTCTACGGTTCTCAGCCCACACAGGTCTGCCTAGAGATGTATTTCCCTACATTCAGTCATCCAGGCACTCAGAGGATAATTAACACCATGCATCAAAGGGGTCTAATTAAGTTGTTGGCAGACCTTGTTATCATGTACATGGTGACAGTTTTACAGGTACACAAAATACAAAAGCCATTGGGTCATGGAGGCTTCTAACTACATTCCAAGAGATCAGTGCCACAGAGCCACGATGCAACAAGAGCCACGCTCAATCTGCCTAGCAAGGTTCTGTCCACCAGATCAAAAAAGTGTGGTTCTGATTCTGCTGGAGTCAAAACAGACCACGTGCTCCTGGGCTGAGTCACAGCAGTCAGCCATGAATTTAATGCAGACATCAGACAGCAGGCATCTAGCAGAGAGAAGTACACAGTAAGCAGAACGAGACACGAACACAAAGAGAATTGCAGCACAAATTAAAGCACTGGACAGGCTAGGGGTATAGCACAGTGTCAGAGTGCTTGCCTAATATACAAAATACTGGGTTCAGTCCCCAGGCAGTTTTACCTAAACAGTCAACGGTGAAAAACCGGGAAACTCTAGCTTTAGGATCATGTTGAGGACAGGAACACTTAAATGCACTAACACAGGGCTACCGCTGAGGTTAGCTCAATGGGAGAACGCTGGCCCTGTATTTCATCCACAGTAGAGAGTGTGCAACCCAAGCACCTGTGGCGAATCCCGCAGTGTACCTACTTCTGCTTGAGGGCCTGACTCCGACTCTTCTGGCGATGGGAGGCTGTTGCAAAATCTACAAAAATCCCACAAACAGGGGTTCTGGAAATGGAATCACTTGCTTCTGCATAAGGGGGGAAAAGAAAAAGCTATTTTGTGAAAATGAAACTTTTCCTTCAAGGAAAAAAAAAGTAAAACAATTATAGTCATATATAAAATCACAGTAATATTTTACTTGAAATTGATAATCACATCAGTAATAAAATATTTACATATGTGTATAAAATATAGTTTTCTTTTCCTATCCTACAGACTCTGAAAAAAAGAATAAAGATATACAGAAAACCCTCAGCTGTGGTTTCACTTTCTAGATTCCATTTACCTACAGTCAATTGTGGTCTCTAAGTTATTAAATGAGTAATTCCAAAACCAACAGTTGGTAAGCACTGACTTGCACGTTGTTCTGAGTAACCTGATGAACTCTCCAGATGCCTTGTCTAGAAGGTGAACCATCCTTCAGTTAGGTATAGGCAGGCTGTGTATGCTCCCTGGCCCCAACTCAGTCACTGCCACTGCAGTCACAGTTGTCACATCAGCTCTCTTGGAGTCACACCGCTGACTCTCAGGGAACCCTTAATGATGCCCTAAAAGGACAATTAGCAATACGGACATGCCAAAGAGGGACCGTTAGGACCTTCCTCAAGGGATGGCCGTGCCAAAGAGGGACCATTAGGACCTTCCTCAAGGGGCCACCCGATGGTACAGCAAATAGTTACTTATCAACAAGCCTGGCAGCCTGAGGTGATCCCCAGATCCCACAAGATGGAAGGAGAGAACCAACCCTAAAAAGTTGTCCTGAATGCAACATAAACACCACCATAAGCACATGCTATCATCACACATGCATGCATATATACATACATACATACATACATACATATATACACACAAGTAAGTAAAATGAGCTTCTTTAAAGTAAAAAAGGTGAATGTCTTGGAGGAGTGGGGGGTGGAGAGCCTGAGGCTGCTAAGTTCAATGGTAAAATCAATCCCTATATCCATTTTATTAAATGTCACAATGTTTCCTTTTAGTGACTTAAAATATTTACTCTCATTCTCATAATTTATCATGCCCAGATGTCAAGAGTTTTCAGAAAATCCAATTTTAATTTCATTCAGGAAATTCCTCAGCGAATATGCTTCCTGACAAGCTGGGAGTGCCCACCCTGGGCCCACCGGCCACCTCACAGGGCTCTGCTCTGCTCTGCTCTGTGGGATGTCCTTGGGCCGCGGTGGGGCCAACCACACCTGTCACCTGCCCATGGAGCTCTTGTGGTAACACACAGCCCAGTCCTCCTGACGGTAACTGTGCCTGCTGCTTGGTAAGGATTCAGGAAGACATTACCAAAGGGAACAAGAACGCTCGCCCACAGGCTACACAGGAGGCTAACAGTACAAGACAATAGACACAGATGCTGTACCCGGGGACAGCAAAGGGCACCTCACAGCCGGCGCTGACACACATGACTTGTGCCATGGTGGATCTCAGGGAGTCACAGAGCAAAGCATTACCCGGTGTATCAAGTGTAAAATCTTCCCACCTTGTGGGACTTTTCAGAAAATGTCTACAAAGCTCCCAGAACATGTTTCCCAGTGTTAAGTGTCCTGCCATACCTGCCCAGGACTCCTTCTCATTCTCCATTCGACCTTGCTTCTGAAACCGTTTCAAAGATAACTCTCCAACCCTTTCATTCTCTGCACTGATTGCCTTTTGGATTTCTTGTATTTCCCTTTTCTGGGCGAGAGGAAGTTCTTCAGATTTTTCTTTAGAGTCACGCTCATTACTGCTATCATCATCACCATCACAAACCTCGAAGTCATCTTCGTAATCCTACGAACAGTAATAAGGATTTGGCACCCTTAAACAAATGAGTTAATACATACAACAAAACATCACAATTTATATTTTATAATTTAAAATTAGCAAAACCTTTATTATAGCTAAGGAAGATTTTATAATGCACTGATTTTAATGTTGCTGGATTGTAAATTTGCAATTTGCAGAGGCAGGCAGATCTCTGAGTTCAAGGCTAGCCTGGTCTACAGAACCAGTTCCAGGAGAGCCAAGACTACACAGAGAAACCCCGTCTCAAAAAAAAAAAATTTACACACATGCACGAATTTTAAGAATGCGTTGTTAAACTGAGAAAAATTTAAATTTTATACATACTTCAAAATCATCTTCAAAATTAGCCATATATTCATTAGCCCCAGTAGCCTCTAAATCATTGTCTTCCTTTTCAGGTTCCTAGAAGCAAAAGTCAAACATGAAATGAATAAATTCAATCATATGCTTAACTGTTGCAAATAGAATGGAAACCCAGGTTTTCTAGGGTCTGTGTGGTGCTGCTGAGACAACCCCAAATTATTGCAAGAGATACCCTTGTAAGAACACACTACAAATTTTAAAAAGCTAAAAGGACTTTCAGCTATCACTATAAACAAATAATGAATGTTTGAGAGATGCTTTTTCTGCGGTGAACATCATATGGTCTGCACCTGACAGATACAGGGTGATTGCTTCAGGTTCTACAGAAACAGAACAGCTGCAAGCACGTATGGGAGAACTAAAGTCACTACAGTGGGTCTCAGAAGACAAAAGCAACTACAGTAATGAAGTCAAACGTACACAGGAGGACTCAGTAGCCACACATTCCTACTCTTCTTTTAAACCGTTTAACAATTCTGATTCAAACTGTTTCATAACTTGATCACTTAATTTCCCCCTTTAAAAGTATCAGCTTCCTTTTTAATGCTAAATTTCACTTTTTTTTTTTTTTTTTTTTTTTTTTGGTTTTTCGAGACAGGGTTTCTCTGTGGCTTTGGAGGCTGTCCTGGAACTCACTCTGTAGACCATGCTGGCCTCGAACTCAGAGATCCGCCTGCCTCTGCCTCCCGAGTGCTGGGATTAAAGGCGTGCGCCACCAACACCCGGCTAAATGATACGTTTTTAATTTTCTGCTAAATGTACATGGGCAGCTGGTTGTGAAGCAAACACCAGTAATCTATGCTGACTGGAAGACTAAGGCAGAAGGTGGGGCCCAGGAGCCCTCCACCAGCCTGCACAACATCATGAAACCTCATATCTTGGGGGGGGAGGGATTCACCATATAGCTAAATGATTTGAGTTCACACTTTTTAAAAGACAGGTAATCTCCCTCTATTGGTTTTAAAGTATTGACTTCGGTCATATTTTCATATGTCATAACCATTTTGATGGTTGACTATGTCAACTTGATTAAACAGAGATCCTCCTACAGTATTTACAAAGCACACCTCTAACTGCATCATGAAGGTGTGTCCAAAGAGTTAAGGTCAACAAGGGGAAAGAACTAAATGTGGGTGGCACCATCGCACAGACTATAGAACACACGCTTGTTCTCTCCCTGCCACGACTGATTGGAATCTCTGAAAACAGGAGACAAAATAAATCTGTCCTCCCTCAACTCGTTTATGTCATGTGTTCTGTTACAGTAACAAAAAACAACAGGATATTAGACAGTGAATCATTAGGTGGTCTTTTACAGTAACCAAAATTAACAGGGTATTAGACAGTGAATGGTCAGGTGTTATGTTACAGGAACCAATCTAACAGGGTATTAGACAGTGAATAGAAAGGTGTTCTGTTACAGGAACCAATCTAAAGGGGGGGGGTTGTTAGACAGTGAATGATCAGATGTTTTGTTACAGTAACCAAAACTAACAGGATATTAAACAGTAAATCATCAAGGTGATCTGTTACAGTAACCAAGGTTAACAGGGTATTAAACAGTGAATGGGCAGGTGTTCTGTTACAGTAACCAATCTAACAGGGTATTAGACAGTGAGCTGTAACATTATTAGGCTACACTGAGCAACCTTCCTACTTGCTGACCTCAGGAAGACTATCAAGGTGGTGACCACGGAAACACTGTAAACACTGTACCTTTGCTTCTCTTTTCTTGTGCTCTTCCTTCACGGATCTCTCTCTTTTATCTGTGTGACTTCGGCGCTTCTCCTCATCATGATGAAGTCCCTCCTTGTGCCGCCTCTCTCGGTGTCTGTCCTCCACTTCCCTGTCAGAGAGCGAGCTCCCCTTCTCTTTAGAGTGTTTCTCTCTCTTCTCCCTGGTGCTGCTTCTCTCGCGGTGTCTCTTCTCACGGTCTGCATCTTTCGTCTTCCTGTGCCTCTTTTCACTCTCCTCTTTATACAGCCAGTAGTTGAGAGGGTTCTCTTTACTGTCTCCATACTGTAGCTTTGAAAGCAACAGTGAGATCTACATGAACAAAGGGTCAGAGCGCTGTCTATGCATATCATACAGAAAGGAGTCACAGCGCTGTCTATGTATATAATGGAGAAAGGGTCACAGTGCTGTCTATGTATATAATGGAGAAAGGGTCACAGCGCTGTCTGTGTATATCATAAAGGGTCACAGCACTGTCTGTGTATATTATGGAAAAAGGGTCACAGCACTGTCTATGTATATTATAGAGAAAGGGGTTACAGTGCTGTCTATATTAGGGGAAAAGAAGCAGGAAAACAAAATCACACGGTCAGTGGCACTGTCTGTATCCCTACGTGACAATCCGCTGTCCTGGAAGAAAAGCAATCCTCACTCACACCAAGAGCAACTTTACCTAAGCCTAGATGCCCTCACACTTCCTTGGGATGAAGGTCTGGGTGCTTGGTCTCAGGGTGTCACTGCTGGGAGATTATTGTTCCTGCAGGAGGCGCCGCCACGTCAGACAGGAGACTGTGGGCCGTCTCTTCCTCTCTGTTCCCTGACTTGGGATGTAAGCAGCTTTCCTCCCCCTGCACTCCCACAGCACGCCGCCTCCCTATAAGAGGGCCCAACAGTCAGTCATGGGCTGAAAGTCCCAGCACTAAGGATCAAAGGCAGGCCTTTTTGCTTTTCACATACTGATTTCCTTGGACAGACCATCGCCCTGACAGCAAAGGAGCCCAGACCCACAGCAAAGCTCGCAACACCTGCCTTCTTTCCTGCTCCACCACGGTCTCCGTACGCCCTTCCTTACCCCACAGCCTGCGGGCCTGCTGCAAAGTCTTCGTGGCTTCTCTAGGAAGGCAGTCCCGGTGCTGCTGTCCCCATGCAGGGACACACTATGTTACTTTCCTAATTGTTCCTTACTCCACCCAGACAAGGAGAGTATATATATTTCTTATGGCTACTTTTATATTAACCTGACACAAGACAGAGTCGTCTGATAAGAAGGAACTCCACAAGATCTGACTGTACCCAGCACTCAGGAGGTGGAAGCAGGTGGATCTCTGTGAGTTTGGGGCCAGCAAGTTCTAGGATAGGCTCCAAAGCTACATAAACAGACCCTGGGGGCTGGAGAGATGGCTCAGAGGTTAAGAGCACTGGCTGGTCTTCCAGAGGTCCTGAGTTCAATTGCCAGCAACCACATGGTGGCTCACAACCATCTGCAATTCAATCTGGTGCCCTCTTCTGGCGTGTAGACAGAACACTGTATATGTAATAAACACATAAATCTTAAAAAATAAAAAAATAAAAGAGAACAATTTAAAAAAAAAACAGACCCTGTCTCAAAAATTTTTTTTAAAAATCTGACTGTAGAGCATTTTCTTATTAGTGATTGATAGGAGAGGGCCCAGCCCATTGTGGGTAGGGCCATCCCTGGTCTTGTGGTCCCAGATTCTATAAGAAATCAGACTGAGCCAGCCATGAGGAGCAAGTCAATAAGCAGCACCCCTCCATGGCCTCTGCCTCCAGGTTCCAGACCTGCTTGAGTTCCTGTCCTGACTTCCCTTGATGGTGGGCCATGATGTGTAAGTGTGAGCCGACTAAACCCTCCCCCCCCCCCAAGTTGCTTTTGGTCATCACAGCAATAGTAACCCTAACTAAGAGAAAGTACTTAGGTGGTAGAGATGCCAATCACCCCGTTATGGAGATGAAACACTGCATGTCCATATTGAAATGTCACCCTGTCCCTGTAAACGTGTACAACGGCCAGCCTTCCCTCAGGCTCGACCCCATGTACCTTTCTTTCTCGGTATCTTCTTTCTCTGTCGTCATCTCCTCTTTCAGAATCTTCATCTCTCCTTTCCTTTTCCTCAATTCGTACTTTGCCTGCTAAAACATACAATTACATAGTTTTAATATTCCTGGACTTTCTGATAATGTTGTACACTTCACAACTGTACATATGTTCATTCACGAATCTGCATTTTAACCTTCTTCAACTAAGAAACCTTCTCAAAATCCAAGAGTAACAAGTGCTGGTATGTACACTTAAAGTGGCAGGTGACCATGGCAGGCTAGGAGCAGACACAAGCCTTCCCCCTCCCAATTTGTTACTGAGACCAACTGGTAACGGTCTGTGCTCCGGAGGTGGAGAGGGGCCTCAGAAATAACACGTGAAAGGAAGCAGGAGTGTATCAGGCAACAGAGGCGGGCAAACAGCGCTCAACAATGCCTGCAGGAGAAGCCACAGGTGAGCCGGTTAGACACGCGGGTATTGCTGACATCCAACACAGAAAAACCAGCCATCACTGAGGAGCAATGTTACCTTACAACTAAGAAAATCCCAACAGCTGAGCTTTGGGTCAAGGGTAGAGTCCTTGCCTGCCGTGTAAAACAGCTCTTGGTTTGATCCCCAAATCCCCAACACTGCAATGAAACTAACATTTGGGTGCAATACTAGTACTGAGGTGTTTTATTTTGCTTATTCAAAGTGATTAAGATTTACTGAGATAATAAATTTTAAAAAGTCTCAAAAGTAAAAACACTAGTAAATACTACAAAAATGGTTCCTTGACTGCATTTTTTTAAAAATGTCATAATAACAAACAGAAAATGGGAAACAGGACTTCAAACCTACAGCTACAGCACCCATGAAAACCTTAAAGTAAATAAATGATAGCCGGGCGGTGGTGGCGCACGCCTTTAATCCCAGCACTCGGGAGGCAGAGGCAAGCGGATCTCTTTGAGTTCGAGGCCGGGCTGGACCGACAGCCTCCAAAACCATACAGAGAAACCCTGTCTCGTAAAACCAAAAAAAAAAAAAAAAAAAAAAAAAGAAATGATAAACTGAAAAGGGAAAAGCTTCTATGAGAACTTCTAAACAAGATAAGGGCCAGGCAAATGGCTCAGCGAGTAAAAGCACTAGCCAGTCGAGTCTGGGGATTCCCAGAACCCACGTCAAAGTCGGACGCGGTTGCACACAGCAGTAATCCTGGCATTCCTGTAGCAGGATAAGAGGTAGAGACACGAGAACCAGCCAGCACCTCTCAGGCCAGGAAGCCTAAAGTACGTAGTGTGCAGAAAGAGACCCCATCTCAGCAATGTAGAAGGCAAAAACCAACTCCGGAGAGTTGTCCTCTGACCTCCACCCACGTGGCTGCACACACACTCAATCCATCAACGGAGCAAGAGAAACACAGCTAACACACTAACGGGCGGAGCTAGGGCGACACTGTGGGTGGAATCGGTCCCCAGTGCAGACGCACCTGCGTGGGCCTTCTTGTCCACTCTCTCCAGAACCTGCCGGCCACGCGCCTCTCGCGCCAGGAGGTCGTGGTAGGCGATCGTCTGCCTGAGCTCTTCCTTCCTGGCCCTTCTGTCCCTGTCTCTCTCGCGGTCTTTGCCTCGACTGGGGGCCTTCTCCGCCTCTTGCTCTCGGTGCCTCTCTTTCAGCTTGTCTCTCTCGCGGTCCTTCGCCTCCTTCCTCCTTTCCTTGTGCCTCTCCCGGTCTCTCTCCCCACGCGCATGCTCCGTAAACGCGTGAAGGTCTCTCTCAGCAGCCTTCTCCTTGTGCCGGGCCTCTCGGTCTGGGTCCCTGCTCTTGTGCTCTCTGTGTTCAAGGAGGCCCAGCTCCGACTCCTTGTGCGCCTTCTTTTCCCTGAGTTTCTTATCTTCCTTGGGACTTCCTGATTGCACAGCCTGAAACACACGAGGGAGATCTTCCTTGACCACGAAAGCACGCATGCGCTGACTTCACTATCTGGACAGAGAGACTCATCTGAAACACTTTTTAAAACTCACTGGCGGCAGCTGCTGTCTCCGGCCACCAAGACGGGAGGTGGAGCTGAGTGAACATTCTTAGACTACTCAATGGAGTCCTACTTAACGTTTCTACACATATGCTACCTGGCAATCACCCCGTGCTATCAGAGATGTTCACCTTTATTGACAAATCAAACCTGAAATGCCATCCATAAAATACAACCTACAGTAGAAAGAGATAATGAAGTTGTGTTTTAAAGCTGTTGAGGCAAGAACCACTTAGTTACTACATAAAGAGTAAAGCCAGCTTCATCACAGCGCTCATGAGGCAGAAGCAGGTGGGTCTCTGTGAATTCTGGGTCAGTCTGGTTTGTGTAAGTTTCAGGCCAGGCAGGGCTACATAGTGAGACCCTGTGTCAACATCAACAAAGCCAGACGTGGATGGCACCTGTAATCCCAGCACTCAGGAGAACGGGACAGGAAGATCATGGCCACTTCATTACAAAGTCAGCCTGGATTACAGAGTGAGACCCCGTTTATAATTAACTAATTAATTAAGCCTTTATTATAAACTTTCAGAAAGACTACATTTCAACCTCAAAAATTACGCTGGTGGGGCTACCAGACTGGACTAACCAACAGGACACCTCAGCCCCAAAGCAGGACCATAACCCATAATAGTGCCCCACATATTAGACAACTGGTTTCGTCTCTGAGTCACAAATGCCTCTGAAATGAGCTTGAGCCACGGTTATGCAGGGTTGTGAGCCTGGCCACACTGCGCGACAGCCCATTGAGGGTCCATGGGAATCCCAAATGCGTCTTTAAAATGTATTACCTTAAGGTGTCTTCTGAGGTCTTCTGCTTTCCAGGTATCATCTTTCGTTCTTCTCTAAAGAGAAGAGTACAAAGTCAGAATTGTCAAGTCAGGCGTGGTGGCACACGCCCACACCCACACCTCCTCAGGAAGCTGAGGCAGGAGGATTCTAAGTCCCAAGCCAACTGAGGCTATATAAAGAGGTCTTAGGTAGAAAAAAAAGTAGAGTAACAAATTTTGTGTTTGCATTATATTATTTGTACCAAAAACAATTAACTAGAGAATACTTGCTCTCTTACTGAAATGAAAGATCCAAGGAGAGGCCAAGAATGGGACTCATACCTGTAGCCCCAGCACCTGCACGGCTCATATCTGTAACCCCAGCACCTGCATGGTCACACCTGTAACCCCAGCACCTGCACGCCCACACCTGTAACCCCAGCACCTACACAGCCACACCTGTAACCCCAGCACCTGCATGACCACACCTGTAACCTCAGCACCTGCATGACCACACCTGTAACCCAGCACCTGCACGCCCACACCTGTAACCCAGCACCTGCATGACCACACCTGTAACCCCAGCACCTGCATGACCACACCTGTAACCCAGCACCTGCATGACCACACCTGTAACCCAGCACCTGCATGACACCTGTAACCCCAGCACCTGCACGCCCACACCTGTAACCCAGCACCTGCATGACCACACCTGTAACCCCAGCACCTGCATAGTCACACCTGTAACCCCAGCACCTGCATGACCACACCTGTAACCCCAGCACCTGCATGACCACACCTGTAACCCCAGCACCTGCATGACCACACCTGTAACCCAGCACCTGCATGACCACACCTGTAACCCCAGCACCTGCATGACCACACCTGTAACCCCAGCACCTGCATGGTCACACCTGTAACCCAGCACCTGCACGCCCACACCTGTAACCCCAGCACCTGCATGACCACACCTGTAACCCCAGCACCTGCACAGCCCACACCTGTAACCCAGCACCTGCATGGTCACACCTGTAACCCCAGCACCTGCATGACCACACCTGTAACCCCAGCACCTGCACGCCCACACCTGTAACCCCAACACCTGCATAGCCACACCTGTAACCCCAGCACCTGCACGCCCACACCTGTAACCCAGCACCTGCATGACCACATCTGTAACCCCAGTACCTGCATGACCACACCTGTAACCCCAGCACCTGCATGGCCACACCTGTAACCCCAGCACCTGCATGACCACACCTGTAACCCCAGCACCTGCACGCCCACACCTGTAACCCCAGCACCTGCATGACCACACCTGTAACCCAGCACCTGCATGACCACATCTGTAACCCCAGCACCTGCATGACCACACCTGTAACCCCAGCACCTGCATAGCCACACCTGTAACCCCAGCACCTGCATAGCCACACCTGTAACCCCAGCACCTGCACGCCCACACCTGTAACCCAGCACCTGCATGACCACACCTGTAACCCCAGCACCTGCATGGCCACACCTGTAACCCCAGCACCTGCACGCCCACACCTGTAACCCAGGACCTGCATAGCCACACCTGTAACCCCAGCACCTACACAGCCACACCTGTAACCTCAGCACCTGCACGGCCACATCTGTAACCCCAGCACCTGCATAGCCACACCTGTAACCCCAGCAACTGCATGACCAAGGCAAAGGGATATAGAGTTTGAAGCCAGCTTCAGATATACAGGGATATTCTGTCTCAAAAGAAAACAACAACAAAAAAGATAAAAATATAGATTTGTTTAAATTATTCACTAATCTAAAGTGATCCATAATTATTACAGGACACATTTACTTAGCTACTTCAAAAAATACTAAATAGTGTCAAATAAAAGAGAAAACATTACGATGGCAGTTAAAAAAAGCAGATCTAGGGCAAGTGTTTTGTGAACATATGTTGGACATGGACTAGAAAGAGCCCTAGTTGCTTTCCAGAGGACCTGGGTTCGAGTCCCAGCACCCACACAGCAACTCACAACTGTCTGTAACTCCAGTTCCAGGGACTCTCACTCCAGCTTCTGACCTCCTCAGAAAATAGGCAAGTTTACAGACATACATGCAGGCAAAACCCCCATACACATAAATTTTTTAACTTAAACAAAAATTGCCAGAAAATATTTTTTCTGTTAGGCCACAATACACTCTCTCACAGGGCTGAGTCAGTTTCTACTTCTGCTGTGGTTGGCTGCTGCTGGAGTTTTCTTTCCAGCCTGGCCCCTCAGCTGATTTGCCCCAAATAAGCACACAGAGACATATATTAATTTATAAACTGTTGGCCAATGGCTAGGGCTTCTTACTGACTAGTTCTCTCTTAATTACTAACCCATAACTACTAATCTATGTATTTCTACATGGTCTTATCTACCAGAGAATGCCTGTTGTCTTCTTGCGGTCTCTTTCTGCCTACCTTTCCCAGAATTCTCCTCACCTCCTAGTCCCGCCTAGCTTCCTGCCTCTATTGGCCAAACAGTGTTTTATTCAACAGCCAATAAGAGAAATACATATACAGAAGGACATGCCCCATCAGTTGGCCCATCCTACCCCAGAAGGATATGGTGTTGACTACCGAGGAACGTGGTTCCCACTTGGCCTTCCTTGGGCTACCTAGTATAGGAGTTCAGCCGTGAACAAGGAAAGTGGCATTGTGGGAGAAAGGCCATAAGCAGATGCTGCCATAGGCATAGCGGAGGTCCCACAGCATCAGCTCAGGGGCCAGAATGTGAGTGGGTCCACCCAATGAGGCATCATGTACAAGCCCCAAACCTGCATCCACCTACTTGAGACCCCAGAAGCTAGAGGAGCAGAATTAAGCCATCCGAGTTCTGTGTGTTCTCCTATTCCCAATCCACAGAACACAAGAGCAAAATTTAGAAAAAAAAATGACTGGGGTGCTGGAGAGATGGCTCAGAGCTTGGGAGAGCTGGCTGCTCTTTGAGAAGTCCTGAGTTCAAGTCCCAGCAACCACATGGTGGCGCACAGCCACCTATAATGAGATCTGGTGTACAGACATACATGCAGGCAAAACACTGTATGCATCGTAAATAAATAAATACTTTTGTAAAAAAAAAGATGATTGATGTTCTATCAATTAAATTTAAGATGATTTTTCTATACAAAAATAGAAACCAATAAGTGAGACTAGACACACAAATTTTCATTTAGCGTCTAATGCACATCGGATGCTATACCGAGTTAAATCCACTATTTGAACCTCATAAATCTATCCAGAAAGGTAATGGGAACCAGAGAAGCGGTGCAGCTGGTAAAGGACTCGCCTCAAAGTGGGAGGAACTGCCAGGGACGGTGGCACAGGCCTTTAATCTCAGCACTCCTGAGGCAGAAGCGGGTGGGTCTCTGAGTTGAAGCCAGCCTGGTCTACAAAGCGAGTTCCAAGACAGCCAAGGCTACACAGAGAAACCCTGTCTCAAACAAAACAAAACATGAGGAAGTAAGCCCTTATTTTCAGAACTCCTCCCAGATCACCTCCATCACCTACAGACCCACTGTCCCCCTGGGGCTTCCCAGAAAAGAAACTCCCCACAACACGTAATCATCAAAACACAACATGTGCAGAACAAAGAAATAATATTGAATGTGACCAGGGGAAAAAGACCCAGTCGCATATAAAGGCGGGCCCGCTGGAGCAATACCTGACTTTCAACGGAGATTTCATGAGCCAGGGAGGAACGAGGCCAGCCACAGGTGCCAGCCCAGACTACTCTACCCGGCAAAACTGTCAGCCGCAATCCATTGAGAAAGAAGAGCATGTCATGGTGCGAGAAAGTTTCGCTGTCCACCAATCTAGCTCTGTAGAAGACACTGAAGGAAAACTACAGACTGCAGAGAAGACTGGATACCCCACTGGTTCTCAACCGTCCTGATGCTGCAACCCTTTAACACAGTTCCTCGTGTTGCGGTGACCCCTGCCCATAAAATTATTTAGTTGCTACTTCATAACCAAAATTGTTCTACTGTTATGAATCATAATGTAATCAGCTGATATACAGGCTATCTGACGTGCAACTCCTAAAGGGGTTTCAACCCACAGGTTGAGAACCGCTAGACTACACACAAGAGGACACAAGGAGTTAAACAATCCCGGAACAGTAAAACAAAAATGGGGCGGGGCGGGGCGGGGCGGGGGAGGACAACCCCACAACAAAAAAGTAACAGGAGTAAACACGGCTCATTGATAACTCCCAAGATCAATAGTCTCAGTTCCCCCAATAAAAAGACACAGACTGGCAGGCGGGATTAGAAAGCAGAGCCCATATTTCTGCGGCATTCGTGGAATTCACCTCACCCTGAAGGACAGATATCATCTTAGGGCACAAGGATGGAAAATGGTAGTCCAAGCAAATAGACACAAGAAGCAAGCAGGGGTAGCCACTTTAATATGCGACAAAATAGATTTCAAGCCAAAACTTATCAGAGGAGATGGGGAGGAATACTTCATACTCATCAAAAGGGAAAAAAAACCTGGATATTGCAGTTCTAAACATTTATGCACCGAATGCAAGGACATCCCAGTTCATAGAAGAAACACTATCACAGCTAAAATCACATATTGACCTTCACACAGTGATAGTAGGTGACTTCAGTGCTCCACTCCTGTCCACAGACAGCTTGTCCACACAAACACTAAACAGAGAAGTGCTGGAGTTAAACATCATCAAATGGGCATAACGGACATAAACAGAGCATCCTGCCCAAATGCGAAAGAATCTACCTTTTTCTCAGCAGCTCATGGAACCTTCTCCAGGACTGACAACGTGTTAGAACACAAAGCACGTCTCAACGTTTATGAGAAATCACTGAAATAACACCCTGCAACCTATCTGACCACCGTGGGCTCAAGTTAAATATCAGCAACCACAGAAACGGCAGAAAGCAAGCAAACTTCGTGGATACTGAACAACTCACCGATGAATGAAAACTGAGTCAAGGGAGAAATCAAAAACAGGAAACTAAAGACTTTTTTAGGATGAAATGAAAACACAACATACCCAAGCCTGAGGGAGGGACCCAATGAACACAGTTCTAAGAGGTAGGTTCATAGCACTGAGTGCTTCCACCAAAAAACAAACAAACAAAAAAAAAAAAAACAAAAACTGGATTTTATAGTGGTAACGGCATGGTACACCTGTCAGCTCTAGAAAAACTAGGAGGAAATAATACCCCCCAAAAGCAGAGATGGCAAGAAATCGTCCAACTCGGGACTGGAATCAACGGATCAGCAGCAACAACAACAAAAAAAAAAAAACAATAATGAAAACTAAGAGCTGGCTCTTTGAGAAAAAATAAAAAAACAACAACACACTGGACAAACTTTTACCCAGTAAACCAAAAGATGGGAAGAGAAGATCCAAATTAATTGAAACAGACATGAAAAGGGATCCATGTTTTTCAGAGGGAACTGATAGGATCCTAAGGGCATACTTTAAAAATTCGTATTCCGCCAAACCAAACACAAAACCCTAAAAACATGGAATTCGTAACACAAATGGCATACAAAGGTTAAACTCAGCAGACCGTATCCACCATGGGCTCAGAGACTGCACCTCTGGGCTTGTTCTGCTCTGCCTGCTCTAAACCCTCCAGAAAGAGGACCAGTGCCCGTCAAGGCTGCCTCAAGACCAGGGTTCCTGCGATTTCTTCCTTCAGTGGATTCTCAGCCATGCTCCCCCCAGAATCCGCGCTCGCCCGCTCGCCCGCCCGCCCGCCCGCTCGCCCGGAGCAGACCAGGTCTGCAACGCTGAGACCCGGACCCAGACGCGGCCTCCAGCTCCCTGCTCAGTGCAGGCCTAGGAAAAGACACGCGGTCTCTCCCCCAGGGCTGCCAAAGAGTCGGGGGGGGGGGAGCCCGGGCGCGGGCCGGCCGGACCCCCGCGGCACACCGACCTTCCCAGGCTCCATGGCCCCTCGAGCCCGGGGCAGGCGCGGGGGGCCCCCGGGGAAGACGAGCCCGCCGTCGCTCGGCTCCTCTGGCTGGCCGGGGCCTACACAGTCCGCGGCTCCGGGACCCCGGCAGCCAGGCGTCCCCGTCTCCTAGCAACCAGCCGAGGTCGCAGGCCCAGCATGCCCCGCGGCGTCGTCAGCACGCCTGCGCGTCCCTGCTCCTCCTCCTCCTCCTCCTCCTCCTCCTCCTCCTCCTCTCCCACCACCACCCCCCCCCAGCGGCGGGGGAAGCGGCTTCCTGCATCTTGCTTGAGCTCGTCATCCTTGGCGCCCACGGTGGACCGCGAAAGGTGGGAAGGCGGAGGCGGTGGACGAGCTGTCTGCTGGAACAAGGCTTTGCCTCCTTGCAGACCACACCCTCCCCTCCCCTCACCCACGCCCAGCCCCGCCCCGGGCCGTCTCCTCCTGAAAACCGTTTGGCTGTCAGCTGCGGTGGTGCACGCCTTGTGGTCCTGTTGCCATGGAGACGGAAACAGGAGGCTCTTGGAGATCCAGGCCGGGCTGTTGGTCTGCGGAGCGGAGACGCGGAAGGCGTCTGGAAAAAAGTAGCTGCTGTGAGCGGGTTAAGGAGTGGACGTCACGATGCTTTCTGCAGACGAGACATCTACTTTGCCCACGCTTTTTTTTTCCGAGCCACGTGCTGTAACAGTAACCCAGCTTTAGAGAAATGTATGACCGTTTTGGGCTTGCTCAAGATGGTCCCTAACCCAGCTCCGTCCCACACAAGAAGTACTAACGCATACACTAAGCCTTTCAGATCTGCTTAAGATCTACTGTTGTCTGTTTCCATTGATCAGTACCTTTTTTTTTTTTTTAAGGAGGAAGGTAACCTCGGGGGTGGTGGTTGTGACTTATTTTGCTCCAGGTCTCATAGTGATTTGTTTTACTGTTTATTTTTTGTTGTTGTTCGTGGTGGTTTTTGTTTGTTGTTTGTTTTCTTTCTTTTTGTCTATGGCCGAAAAAAGGATAATAAGCTTTTGTGCATTGCTCACTGGGGCTGGTAGATGATCTGAAGCCAAAGCCCGTTCTCTTAAGCCTTGTATCGCAGCCTACCTCCTGGTAGAACAGCTGATGGAAAGCACCACACACTGTCGAATGTGAGGCTGAGTGGGAAATAAAGGCGCTTACCCACCATGTTAGAAAAGGCAGTTAGTACAAACTTCAGGCAGCCTCCTCCATTATCTGCAACCCAGACTCCTACTGACTACCCTGATAGCCATTTTTCTCCACTCTGGTCCCTGCTAACCCGTGCTTCATCGCAGACAAAACCCTCTAAAATGTCGTCACCCCGTTAAGTCCTACAGCCACCGATTGATGCTGTAAAATGCACACCTCCACCACTGACCGTTCACTACCGGGAGGAACTGTGAAAATAACCTCAGTTAATAAAACAAATCAGTGATGGTGTCCTGCGGAGAACAGGATATTTTCGCATAGCTAGTCACACAAGTATCCTGGCTGCCATGGGCAGGAGAGTGGCTTCATGCCTACCGAGTTAGAACAGCTGTTTCAAAGTCAGGTTATAGCGTTGGGCACAGTCATCTGGAGCAGCAAAGGTGAAAAGATTCTCCTTCACGCCGTCTGATGATGTCATGGCCATCTCAGTAGCCAAGGGTACGACCACCGAAACGGTGGTCCTCACAGCTGTGTGAAAATATCCTGTGAGGGTGCTCAGGGTACATGGGTCCAGTAAAGTCTTCCAGAACAAAACCCAAGTCCAGGGCAGGTACCATGATTTCTGTGGCTAGGATGGTCTCTAGCAGGTAGCCACAGCTCACTGGGAGGTGAAGTTTCCAGTTGATTAGAACAGCTGCAAACGTGACCACCCACGGAAGAGGGATGAGAGAAGCTGCTCGGCTGGTGGCTGCGGTGCTCTGAAGTTTTGGTTGCCGTTGAACCTCAAATGCCCCACCCAGAGCTTCACAGCTCTGTTATAAACAATTGGTTATTACCGAGCACCCCCACCCTTTTCTAGCGCCCAGGTTCTGCTCCTGGGAGGACAGGTCCGACAGGATGTACACCAAGGGGACAACAGCCCATCCTTGGCAGCTCTTTTTATGAAGAAAATGTGCTCACTCGTGATCCCGCCTGGGAGGGAGGCTGAGGCAGGGAGATTTTGAGTTAGGAGACCAGGGTAGGCTGTATGGTGAGACCCTGTCTCAAACAAAACAGCCCATTGTAAGGGCGCTCGTGATGGATATCTGAAAGGCCAATGAGATGACATCTGGTCAACATGCTTTGCAGCCAAGCTGACATCCTACCTTCATCCTTCAGGATCTGCATGTAGAAAGAGACGGGGGGGGTTAGGAGGGAGAGGCTGGATCCTACAGAATTACCCACATCATCATGTCTCGCTGTATATGAAGAGTTAAGTAGATTTTCACCTATAGATGACAACAGAACAATTATTTTCTTAGCGTCTGATTTGTCAACCAATCATATGTCTTACAACATCTTCCACATTTGCTTATTCACTAGGAGATTCTGTGAATCCATTCTGATGAACTGATAACTTATATAGAGTGCTAGAAATAGGAGACAAAGCACGTTCTGGACCTGTAGCCACTCATAACTATTAGAAAAGATTATATAATCAATTATTAAATGATGTAAAAAGCCAAGAGCAGCTTATAAATGGCAATGGTTGAGGAAATGGCAGGTGTCTAACTAGAAGAAGAGAATGAATTTAAGACAAGCTTAATTTTGGTTAAAATTTTAAGCACAATTAACCAGTAAGAGAGGCTAGGAATCAACAGAGGCAGAAAAACAAAAGTGGATACAAACTTAGAGAGAGGTGAGAGTGTTCAGTAGTAACCAACTGTGTTTATAACAGAGCTGTAGAGTTGAAACAGAATGTGAGTTGTACATAATACTTTAGAGTCCTGGATGGGGAACGCTCTCGTTGCCTCCACTGGTTTCTCCTCACTCTGCGTTAGTGAAGGTCAACTGACCAGCCTGTGAGCTGGCTGGAGCCCAGCTGTGCCTCCAGACCGCTGTCACCCAGCCCATTAGATGCTAAGGAGTTACCTCCAGACTTTTGCAGAAGGTCTTCGTTTCCACTGACAATGGAAATATCCTGGCTAAGGTCACTCTTTTTTTTTTTTTTTTTTTTTTTGGTTTTTTACAAGACAGGGTTTCTCTGTATTGTTTTGGAGGCTGTCGGTCCAGTCCAGCCTCCATAAGGTCACTCTTTAGTGAGACCCAAAGGTAGAAGAAAAAGTGAGGGTGACCACTGTAAGTCCCAAGGGTAAACGGCCACCCTGAACTCCTTCCAGGAGCTCCTTCACTCTCAACACGTGTGGGTGTGGCTGCAAACAGAAGCTCTTCCTGGACGGATCAACTGGGGCAGTGAGGAGGGAGAAAGGCCAGTGGTTGATATTTGTCGTCCTCGACTGCTGCTTCTCCCTCCAGCTGGGCTGATCCCAGGCCTGTGGAAATCCAGGACTTTTCTCTCTCCCGCATGGTATGGTTACCCCCACCCCATGGCCAATTCGTCATGACTAATGCACAGTCAATGTCAGTGGAGCCCTACCACCCACCAGGCTCTGCAGTGGAATCAGGTTTCGCCTTCTCTCTATTCTCAGGAGATACGCTAGGTTAGAGCAGGTCTCACGCCTGACAACAGGGGGCGCTGCTGCCTTCAAAGACCATCTGGAGAATACATGCCTGAAAGGTCTCATCCCTCCTATGCCTTCTGACTCACTCCTAGATATGCTCTCAAAAAAATCGGTCTAAATCTTATCCTTGTATTCTGTATTTCTTTAAAGTGTCTTCCTTTGTAACAGACTGCGGTACTTACAACGGCCTCCAAATCAGAACGCTCGTTGCCCTGTAGCACCTGAGCTGTAAATGCATCCTAAAATCATATCTCCTTTGTCATGATTTAGGAAAGAACTCTCAAATGTCTGGATCCAAGCCTGGTCTTTTGATAGGACAGTCTTAGACAGTAGTAGTCTACTTCTCCTGCGCTGACCTCAGGTGACATCCTTGGGCACACACAAGCCCCCGCCCCACCTGTGGCTTCTGTGTTGCCAGCCGCCCCGCCCCTCCCTCCACCCCGCCCCTCCCTCTGCCAGCTCTGTTCCCATTACACCCTCTTTTCCTGCTTCTCACCTACACAGCTCTCTCTCTGTAGCCTCTCTTCCTCATCCACACACACACACACACACACACACACACACACACACGTGTTCTCTCTCTCTCTCTCTCTCTCTCTCTCTCTCTCTCTCTCTCTCTCTCTCTCTCCCTCCCTCCCTCCCAGTCCCATTTATTAGGAGCTTAGCAGGGACCTCAGCACCATCTGAGTGCATGTCCACTTTCCAATGTCCACTTTCCAATGTCCGGCCCACCCCAAATATGATACAAACATTGGTTGTTTAGCCAGGACTCCACCTTCATTTAGGAATCCGAAGGGATAGATCACTATCACTACGTATCTAATCCAGAAATACAACTGTATCATCCTAACCACGGGCTTCAGGGGTTCAGTCTGATCTCCAGTCCTTACCATGCATCTGAGCTGACGGGACCCATGCTCACCATCAGTTACAGAAAGGCCAACGCCTGTCGATTTGCCCAAAGCGGGACATCATTGCTCATGTAAGCCACTGACACAGGGCACTATGGGGACTGGAAAGGGTGGGTCATCACTAACACACTAACTATAACGGGCTGCAGGCAATAACACAGGGAGCGTCCCAAGAACCCTGATCTATTTCAGCCCAGGATAGCTGAAAACATAAAAACCAGCACACTGGTCTGTATATCTCATAAGCCAACCCACTCCAGACATTAGACTTAAAAATATGCCAGAGACCCTAGACTCCTTTCCACACTTATTTAACATGGCTCTGGGAGCCTTTAATAACCCAGAGGAGACACCAAAAGCCAGAGGGACGAAACTGCAAAAGAAAAAAGACAAACCGAAACCTTAAATGGACGTACTCTCTTCCTAACTCAGGAACTCCTAGTGCTTCATGCAGTGGCCATCTGGTTCAGTCTAAGGGAGCTGACCTAGCTTTTGGACGAATGCCTCCTGCTGTTGATGTGGTAAGCCAGGACATTTCAGCCAAGTGGTTGAAAAGCCATCAGGCTATATTCCTCCGCT